CAGGAATTTTCTTTGTTCATGGAGAAACATCTTTGAGGGAAACCTTTAAAAGGTGCATTCCCCACTATTCATTCGGGTTTTGCTTATTCTTCTCCTGCCACTATGGCAGAGGACTAGGGTTCTTATTTTCCTGCCACTATGGCAGAGCACTGGGGTCCTTTTCCTCCTGCAACTATGGCAGGAGGTAAGGGTCTTTTCTATCTCAAAACCCCCTCCCGTCACTAGGACGGGAGTCTTCTTTTCTCAGCCTTTCTAATAAATCCTGCTTTAAAACTAAACTGTGTCCGCATGAAAATTCTTCTTTCCTGCGAGACAAGAATTTGAGGTTGCTGCCATACTCGGAGTCAAAATTCCTGCAACACTTCCATGTCTATTAATTTCTGTATCCATACAGATGTTAAAAATCATAAATATTTGCAAGAAGCTCCTATTTTATTTCCCCAGGACAGTGTGTTCTTTCTTGCTTGCTCCCTTTCCATACACCAAAAAACCCTCCCTCCAATCGTAAATTATGTGAACCACATCGTCTGTAATGTGTGTGTTGGTTTCATCTTGCTGTCCACCATGGTCTTTTCCTGACACATTTCTCGCACCCTTCTCAGGCACCAGGCTGCGCTGTCTTCATCACCCACACCCTTGCCCTACATGGGTTCCCACCAGGTTGCAGCTCTCCGTTATGTGTAGCTGTCCTCAGGCCCTGACAGCCCAGGCTGGGCTACCCACATGTGCTAATGTTGTAGGGTTTTTTGGACCCTGAATATGGCAGCAACCTCAATTCTTGTCTCGCAGGAAAGAAGAATTTTCATGCAGACACAGTTTAGTTTTAAAGCCAAGATTTATTAGAAAAGTTGAGAAGGAGAGGCTCCCGTCCTAGTGACGGGAGGGGGCTCTGAGATAGGAAGGACCCTTACCCTCTGCCATAGTGGCAGGAGGAAAAGTAAAAAACACCCTAGTCCTCTGCCATAGTGGCAGGAGGACAAGAATCCATACTAATGGTGGGGAATGCACCTTTTAAAGGTTTACTTCAAAGGGCTCCCCAAGGACAAAAGGAAATTCCTAGTCCCCCTGGTATTTGGCTTTGGGGCAAAGCACCAGACAGGTGTCAGATATTGGACATTCCTGGCCTTGGGAATAGGAGTACTACACTTCCTCCAGTCCTCTTTTCAATGATAAGATCAGCCTGAGGCCCTCCCACACAATGGCCGGAGATAATGGCTGATACTTCAGGTGGAGAATTGATATGCTAATAGCACCCTTGTCCCTTGGAAGAAGCGTGCTCTGGTGAATCTAAGACATGGTGGGGAAATTCTCTTTTATATAAAAAAATGACTTGGGGACCCAGAATGCCCTAACTGCCTACTGCCCAGTCTAACTCCTCTCACATTAAGGCCCTCTTCATTCTTCTTGGGGTCTCACTCCCCATGTAGAACACATACATAATCACACACTTGCCCAAGCTCAGCCTATCCATGCCATGCGGTCCTCCTACAACTCCTGCTGCCCCTCATCTCAAACTGCCCCATACCAGTACCACAGGCACATGGCCAGTCCCAAGCAGAGGGAACCCAGGTGTCCCAGGAAGTCTCAAGAACTTTCCATCTCACAGCAATTCAGAAACACAAGAGTTAGCAAGTGACCCTGTTTTGGGATAAGGAATTGATTAGCATTCATTAAGCTGAGCACCTGCAGGAAATGGGCTTGGGCTAGTAGCACCTGGTTTAATCAGACTCATTAGCATCCTATTGTTCTGTTAAAGGGCTTGGGGGGAAAAGTATATATGGCGTAATAAAGGGAGGCTGAGAGACTTCCACCATTACTGGTCTCCTGTTAGTGCTTCATCCCCAGACCCTCGCCGTGTCCATGTTACTGGCTCTGCTGGCCGGTACATGACCCAAGACAGGCAGCCTATTGTCCACGCTCCCCTTACTTTAATGAACCCTACACACATTACAATGTCACTAACATTGCAGTCTTGACTGTGACCCACCTCCAAAATCCCATGACCTTATCAGGAGTGGCACCCCTATTCCAGGAGGAGCCCACCATTTTCACAGAACTCTATGTATCTCAAGAATATTCTTGCCCTCCTCACTGTAAGATAAAGACACAGACACTCCCCCTCAGGCTCTAGGGGGCCAATGTTTTTCACTCATTTTGCGAAGCCAGCCTGCAGGCTCTCCTCTAGCTCAGTTAGAATGCAACCCTGACACATCCTAGAACTTTTCCTTGTGGTGTTGTCAGAAACCTGGCCACACACTGTATGCTAACATGAGGACTCCCTAGTGGCTCTGCTTCAGATGACATCCCCACCAAGCCTTCCTCCCTAGGGGTATGAGGTGCCCTTCTCACTTAGCTCCCATGCTCTCCACCCAAGTGAACACCTGGTGCAGGATGCCCCTCCTCACCCTGCCCAGCTGGGCCACCCCATCCTCATTCAGTGGAGCTCTTGTATCCACACAACACTCACCATGGAGGTTCCCTTGGCTTCATTAACAGCTTGAGAATTGTTATCCAGGAAGACGGAGAAGAACCCAGAAAGTATTAACTGCATGCTAGAGCTGTTTGGATTTTGGATTTAGTGACACAGACGTAATGTATTATGTGCATTGGCTCATGATTCATACCTGTTGTAACCACTTGGGGAGTGAACCAACACATGCAAGATCTGTCTCTCCTTCTCTCCATAAATCTAATTTGCCTTTCCAATAAAAATAAATCATTAAAAAGAATTTTTATTGGAAAGGTAAATTTAGAGAGGACAGATAGAAACAAAGATCTTCCATCCACTGATTCACTCCCCGAGTGGTTACAATGACCAAAGCTGAGCCAATCTGAAGCCAGGAGCCACGAGCCAGGATTCTCTTCTGAGTTTTCTTTGTGGGTAAAGGGTTCCAAGGCTTTGGGAGATCCTTTATTGCTTTCCCAGGGCACAAGCAGGGAGCTGGATAGGGAATGGAGCAGCTAGGATCAAACCCGGTGCCCACATGGGATCCCAGTGGTTTCAAGGCAAGGATTTTAGCCACTAGGCCGCCATGCCAGGGCCAAAATAAATATTTTTAAAAATAAAATATAATAAAATGGTAATCAAAGCTTTTTAAAAGAAAGTCTGTAGGCCCAGCATAGCCCACAGGGTGGCAAGCCACAGTTTTTGTTGAACTGTCAGATTTGCACCGCAATAGGAATCTGCTCCCTGAGGAGTAGAATTGGAGCAGAGCTGACCTGAGCCAAGACAGGGTCAGAGAGCAGGTGGGAAAGGCAAGGGCACAGTGTTCAAAAGAAAATTATTTAAAAAACAGAGTTACAAAGGGAGAGATCTTCCATCCACTGGTTTTCTCTCCAATGGCCACAATGGCCAGGCCAAGCCCAGTAATCTAGGAATCCACCCAGTTTAGCAGGGGCCAAGCCATCTTCTGCAGCTATCCCAGGTATATCAGCAGGGAACTGGATCGAATGTGAAGGGTCAGGACTTGAACCGGTGCCCATACGGGATGCTGATATTTCAGGCAAAGCCACAACCTGCCTGAAGGACCCGTTTTCATGAACAAAACAGGGGCACGCAGTTGACACGGGGTGGTATCATTTGGATGCCTGCATCCCGCATCATAGTACCTGGCTTTAAGTGCTAACCCCACTTTTTTAAAGGATTTGTTTTTATTGAAAAGGTAGATTTTTTACAAAAAGACCTTCCATCCTCAAATGGCCACAATGGCTGGAGCTGAGTCAATTTGAAGCCAGGAGCTAGGAGCTTCCTCTGCGTTTCCCATGCAGGTGCAGGGTCCCAAGGCTTTGGGCCATCCTCTTCTGCTTTCCCAGGGTACAAGCAAGGAGCTGGGAAGTAGAGCAGCCAGGAAATAAACCGGTATCCATATGGGATCCCAGAGCTTGCAAGGGGAGGATTAGCCATTGAGCCATTGTGCCAGGCCCTACCCCACTTCTGCATCTAGCTTCCTGCTATTGTGCACCTTGGAAGGAAGGGGTGATGGCTGAAGTACTTGTGTCCGTACCACAAAGAGGAGACCCCGGTTAAGCTCTGGAATCCTGTTTTTCAGTCTGATCAGTCCCAGCTATTGGAGGAATTGTAGGAGAGAACCAGCAGAGAGAAGCTGTCTTCTGCATTCTAAATAAACAAATACTTTAAATCTTGCAACTCAAAAATAGTATTTCTTCAGCTAACCCTCAAAGTGAACCCCTCAGGACAGCCAGGACTCCTCTGGTGAAGCACAAGGGTAAAGACTCAGAGGAAGGACAGGGTCTCCCCAAAATGAGCACAAAGCCTCTCTCTCCACGCAGCACCAGCTCCCAGTACCCTGTTTGCTTCAGGGCACCTGGGCACAGGAGGGAGCGCCTGACTCTCTCCAGAGGATGAGTTGGGTGGACAACAGCAGTCACAGACAGGACAAGAGCCCAGTTTAGGTCCAACAGCACTGTTTATTCCCCAGGAACGATGTTATGTGGAAGAAACGCTGAGAGAAAACAGGCGCAGGGATGATAGAATGACACCGAATGACCTGGGACAGGAGATGAGAGGACAGCATACCTGACAGTGGCCTTGGTCACAGCCCTGGTTCCCCAACTCAACATCCACCCCTTCCCCAAGTCCTCAGCTCAGAGATGAAGGATGATCTGCTTACTCCACACAAAGGAGACGGGCCCAGCTACCAGTTCTGAGCAGCCTGGCCACCATGGTCTCTCACGAGTGGCGGTCAGTTGGCGAGAGAGAGAGGGGCTTTGGTGTGTCACAGACAACCTCAATGCAACCACGAGGCCCTCTTTGGCTTCCAGTTTCATGAGGAAATGGTCAGTCTCGTCCACGTGGGCCCCAGGGCAGCTCTAACAGAAGTGCGGCTTCTACTTTCTTCCAAGGCTCCTTTCCTTCTATCTATAGGATTTGCTTCTATCTCTATTTGTGGCACAATCCTGCTCCCCTACAAGTCTGATCCCCAGAGAGTAGACTGATGAGGGACAGGAGAGACTCTGTCCACCCTCCCTGACCAAGCCTGCCTGGAGTGCTAGATCCTTTGGACTGAGCTTGATCCTCCAAGCCCATCCAGTGGTGCGTCTGTGAACTGCCGAGTGGCCTTGGGCTGCGGTCTAGCAGTGAGGGTAGACACTGACCCTGAGTTCATGTCATAATGAGGTCTCATGGAGGATGAAAGTGGGGCTGGTCCCCTGGTGGACTGGGCTGGTCTCAGCCAGAGCCTCTGTGTCTCCACTGGCCCTCAGCGACCCATTCCTCATCTTCTCAGGAAACAGGGCAGTGTCCACCTGGAGGTCCTGGGGAGCACAGAGCAGAGGAGGCAGAGCCAGTGAACAAGATGGCTGGGAACGATTCTCTGTTAGAGGAGAGCCCAGCAAAGTGGGGGTGAAGGATCATGGGGCCGGGGAGGAGCACAGGGATCAAGCTGCAGAGGGGAGGAGAGCAACTTGGGGTCCTTCTATCCCCTAAACCATCAGGGCTCTGTGGGCAGAGAGGCAGGGACAAGTCCCAGACCTCAGTGAAAAGACAAGAGGGGGAAGGGAAGGCATGGGAAGGGACTGGCCAGCAGGTGGCAGTGCGGGCAAGAGAAGGCAGAAGCTCTGGGGGTGGGCAGCTCCTACCTGGCTGTGGCTTTGGCAGTGGAGCCATTTCTGACAGGACATGGGCAGGAGGGCCAGCAGTTTGGGCAACACTGGGTAAATGGTCCGAGGGTTTGGGGTCCGGCCCCGCATTCCCCCTACAGGAAAAGGCACTTCTGAGTCTCCCTTGAAACCATCCAGAGCAGCAGTCTCCTCCCGGACACAAAGTCCCGGCCATCCCAGGCCCCCAGCCTGGATCTCAGCTGGACAGCCCATTACCCACTCCCTCGGCCCCCTTCTCATTCCTCTGTACCGCAGTCCCCATCCTTACCTGTGAGCAGACTGACAATTAGGCCCACCACAATGACTGTGGTGGAGTTGTGAGCACTGTACCATAAATAAGAAAGGGAATAGAACCGCTGCAGCCCTGTGGGCCTGGGGAGAAGAGAGAGGTGAGGACAGTTAGCATGTGACAGGGTAACAGGACATTCCTAAGACACCTGGCACCACCTGTGGGCATGTCCTCACGACCTGACACCCAACATTTCCTTGAGTTCCCTGGGTCCAATCCCTCAAAGCAAGGCTACTACCCCAAGGTCAGAAACAAGTTCCATCTCACTTGGAAACGGTGGTTGAGGGAATCAGGGTGGTCACGGTGGCAATGGTCAGGTTGCTGGGTAGGGAAAAGCTGGACCCGTTAGGAGGAACAGATGCCACTCCAGAGCCCATGCTGGTCACCATGCTCCCAATGCCAATCCAGAAGGCCATGACGAGTCCAGCCAGCAGGCCCACAATGGCGCCCTGCCGACAGACAGGGTACAGTCACCTGTTACAAGGCTGGTCCCACCAATGCTTCTCATCAGACCCCCAGCAGTCCTGGTGGGAGCCTGCCAGTCCATTCTCCAGGTCACCCCTCTGCACACGACTGCGGAGCTAGCTTTGTCACTCACAGGAGGGTTGGCACAAGGAAAGAACATTCCAAGGCAGAACAGTCCGAGCAGCGGCCCTCCAACCATGCCGAAGATGCTGATGGCAGCCTGGGAGACAGGGTTGAAAAACAAAACACCAGCTCAGTGACCCCTAGCCTGACAGCACAGTCACTCCTACACAGCTGCCTCGGAGCCTTGCCCATCAGCTCCATCTCTTCCACCTGGAAATGGCTCCTTAGGTCTGCTCCCGGCTAGAAGCGGTCCATCACAAGGGTGTTTCTGCCTATCTCTTATTCCTCCCAATTGAGCTGCCTTCCTCAATTTCCTCCTTCCCTTAAAAACTGCCTTCTGGGGCAGGCTTGGGGTGGGTAGTGGGTTGGTTCTTGGCCACATTCCATACTGAAGTGTGGGTTTAATCCGGGCTGCTCTGTTTTCTGTTCTGGGTGCCTGCTCATGTGTCCTGGAGGCAGCAGATGGTTGCTCAAGTTCCTGCCACGCATGGGGGAGACTTAGATTGAGTTCTGGGCTCCTGGCTTCAGTCTAGCCCAGCCCTGGCTGTTACAGCTATTTGGAAAGTGAACCAGTGGATAGAAAATTCTCTCTTCTCTCCCGCTCCCATCCCTGCTGTTATTTTCTTTCAAATATTTTGAAAAGCAAACTTTTCTAGATTGCTGCTTCCCTTACTCAGCTATTACCTGCAACAAAGGTCCCATCTGGGAGGAAACATAGGCCATTCCCAGGCAAAGCAGCCCATAGCCAAAGGCTGTGGGGAAAGAGAGGGAGAAAAGAGCTGTGAGTGAACCACAAGAATGAAGGGCAAGACGAAGGCAACTCCCCAACCAGACCATCGGGACTCTGTGGCAGCGGTCCCCCCCACCTGTCCTCACTCCTCCATGACTGAGACCTCCCTAGGGATGCCCCGAGAGGGAAACAGCCATGGCAGCATAAGGCTGTGTGCTTCATCAGGCAAACGCTGAGCCCAGGATGAAGCAGGTGCATTATGGCAGACTGGTGACCGTGCCGGAGTGTAGCTCAGAAAGATCAAGACCGTAGAGACGCAGAAGCATAATCCCACCGAGGCTTCTGGAAAGCATGATGGCCCGGGTTTCGGAGCACTCAGGGAACCATGGTCGGATCAGGTCCTCCATTGTGACAGTTGCCAATGAATTGAAAGCAGAAGATATGGTGCTGGAAGGAAGAGGGGGATGAAGACTATAGTGAGCCAAGGAGTGGAGGGGGCACAACTCCATGGGGTGCCATGAAGAGAACATCGCCCTGAGGTGGGAGAGGTGACCCCCACGGTCACAAAGCCAGCCTCACAAGGGACCCAGGTTACCGCAGAGGTGGCTCAAGAAACAAGGACACTAGTCCTTTCCTGATATGTGGAGAAATCTGGTTCCCATTACTAGAAAAGAATGCCTAACCAAAATGGGAGACTCTCCTGGCAGCCCAGGAGATTCCCCACCCAGCTCACATATCACCTTATACCCAGCACGGTCAGTTGTGCCAACCCTAAGGGGTACCTGAGGGAGCCGCTGAAGAGGCAGGCCACGAAGAGGCCCGGCAGGCCCGGCAGGTTCTTCAGGAGGTCCATCACAAAGTAGAGCACAAACTACAAGCAAAGCAGAGCATATAGCCCTCCTTACTGGCAGGCCGCAGATGGCCTCCTCTGCACCTGCTCTAGCCAGCCTGGGAAACCCAGAGGCATCTGCTGACCCTGGTGAGGCAGAAAAAGAGCCCAGGCAGAGAAAGAGTGGCTTGCACCCATCTCAGCCGGCTGAACCTGCCATCAGGAGATTCAGATGAAATCTGCTGGGTGAGACAAGCCCAGAGTGCATGTTACAGGAGGGGTCCAGGTCCAAGACTCAGGGGGACGAGCACTGTGACAGCTGTTGTGGTGGCTGGGAGCTTACAAGCTGGACTGCCAGAGGCTCCCAGTGAGAAAGGACTCTGAGGGCATCACCCACTCAGTCCTCTTTGCTCCACCCAGGCACAGCAGGGGGCCAGGGAAGCCTACTCACCTGGTCAGGGGCTGCTTGAGACTGCTGGGGGCTCATGGGATACTTCTGGTAATAGGCAAACATCACCAGGCCAATGAGGCAGGACATGCAGAGGGTCACCTGCTGACAAGGGAACACCGCGTAGCAGGAGCTGCATGAGAGGCCAGAACCGGGGAGAGAGAAGCTGTTAGCAGGGTACCCTGGTCATGTGACCCTGAGCCTCCAGCAAGGAGAGCTACATTCTGACTCCAATGGGTAAGCATGTGCACTGGCTGCCTGTGGGAACACCTTCACCCTGGCTTGGCTCCATCTTCCCGCCTCTGCACTCACAGCACAGCCGCTTTCTCTGTGCGGGAACTGAGGTAGCGCTGCACCTGGGCCTGGTTCACCCCGTACAAGGACAGCATCATGAAGACACCCCCGAAGGCTAAGGTCCAGAAGGTATGCCGCACAAAGGGATCTGGATCCAGGCTGTAAGAGATGCCAGTCAGTCACTGTGCACGACCCCAGACAGACTTAGCCCTCTGCCCTCCTGGCATCGGAGGTCAGAGGAGAGCAGACACACCACCACCACCAGGGCCAAGAGGAGGACTGAGGGCAGGAGGCCAGGCACATCAAGACACGCACAGCAAGTGGGAAGGTGGGTTCTGTTGCCCCAGACCCAAAATGGGTGATAGCTCAGCCCTTTTTGAACACCAGCTGGACAGCTGGGATCACTGCACAGTGTTGCGCCTCATGCTCCCCAGCTTGCCCTCTGCTCATTGCAGCCCTGGGCCCAAGTTCCAGGCCGGGCTTGGCCTCCAGGTACTGCAGACCCCAGCCAGGGAGAGGGGCGGACTTACTCAATCCCAGAGATGAGGCCATGCTGGGAAGCTACCTCCCACACATGCCCCAAGCCGCCCACTCTGGCTGACCCCACGATGAGAACCACGAGCTGCCCTAGGAACATGACCAGTGTCTGAAACACATCTGTCCAGATGACGGCCTTCAGCCCACCCTGCAGGGGAGAGAGAGAGAGAGCGCACCTGTCACACGCCTCTTTCTGAGTGGCCACTGGGGACACACAATAGCAGCCAGGACACTCTGCAGTCACCACAGGGACAAAATGCCTTCACAGGCCACCCTCTCTCATCCAGCCCACTCTGAATCTCATCTCCCCTCACTTGAGAACTTCTCCCCAGCCCCTCTCCCTTCCCTACCATCCCCCAGGGCTCACCAGGGCCGTGTAGATGGTACAGATAATGCCGAGGGTGAGCACTGACAGCCACAGATCAAAGCCGGTCACTGCAAGCAGAGAAAAGTCTCTCTCCAATCCTTGCAAGAGGCTGCCGAGGGGAGCAGCCCTATGATGGCAGCAGAGAAGAAATCATTCATAATGGGGGAAGAGGGGAGTGTGCAGCACACTCCACCGAAAGGTGTTGATTCATGCCTGGGAGTGAGGTGAACCAAGTCCGTTCCTCTGCTTCTACCCCCAGGATCCCAACTCCTGGTCGAGGTTCTTTCCTTGACACTGTCTTTATGAACCCCTTCCAATGGCGCTTTCCTGCTCACCATAGCCGAGAGCCAGGGTGCGACTCCTCACCTGCATTAAGGGCCAAGGACGGTGCATAGAGCACAACTCCCATGTAGATCACCTGCCAGGCATGGGAAGCAAGGGGGTGAGAGTGGGAAGAGAAGAGGGAAGATGGAGCTTAATTCCAGCTTCCCAAGGCTTTCTCCCTCCCTCCCAAACCCTGGCTCACTGCACTGGAAGACACAGGCAACGTGATGTCTCAGGGGCTACAGCGTTGCAAACCCTTTGTGGAACTCCAGTTGTGCCAGTATGAGAACGGGGCAAGTTCCAGCTCCCTCCCGTAGCCTGGCTGTGTCCCGCTCCAGCTCCACTTCTGCCCTTGCTCCCCTTACCATCTGGAAGATGAAGGTCACTGTCCCACAAATCCGCACGGTTTTATTGAACCGGAGCTCCAGGTACTGGGCAGGAGGACACAGAGAAAGGGACACAACGCTCCACCTGACTCCACCCCACACTGTGCACGTAGCTGCCTTCAAGAGGCCTGGAGACCTGAGGGGTGCCCACCCTGGGCCCACCTCAGTACAGAATTCTTGTTCCCCCCAACTCCGACCTAACCAAGGGTATTCTCCATCCCTGTCCCAGGAAGGGGAAGCCCATGGGCCCCAGCTCCTGTCCACATGCCCACTACTCACCTCATAGGCACTAGTGAGATGCAGGCGGTAGAAGACAGGGATGAAGACATGTGCAGGGATGAGCAGCCCTAGGAAGTAGCAGCAGCCCAGCAACCAATACTGGATCCCATTTCGGTAGACCTCAGAGGGTGCACCCAGGATGGCCACAGCCGACTGGAAGGTGGCCAGTAGGGACAGTGCCACAGGGAGGCAGCCCATCTTACGGTCTGCCAGCAGCAGCTGACCAACGGTATGCCGGCCCCAGCCACGATAAGCATGGTAGAGGCCAATGGCAAGGGAGAGAACCAGCACCAGGCTGAAGATCACGTAGTCCACAATGGAGAAAGTGGCTGTGACCACATCCGTGGCTGGGGTTGAGGTGTAGGGGGCAGCAGTGCTCATCCTCACGGCGTTCTGTGCCCCACAGCCTCCTGCTGCACCTGAGCTCCGGACTGTCCTTTGGCTGGGCAGTGGCGACCAACGGCTACAAACTGGCTCCCAGCCAGTCTCACAGTCCTCCTCCTGCACCGAGCAACATGGTCCAGACAAGCTGAAAAATAATCAGCTCCCAATCAGTCCCATCCTGCCTTCATGACCACCCACCCTTGTACATGCTGGCCTGGAGCTGACCACCCTGGAAGGTCCTGGCTGGATCCTTCAGGGAGGTAGGTGAGCAGAGGAAGCAGCAGAGACAGCCAGGAGACAGCTAATTTGACAAAAAACGTTGGGTGTGCAAGTCTGGGAGATTTAAGAGCCTTCTTAGGTCTCCACCCAAAGAAAACCCAACACCAGCCCCAGTTTCTTCTCAGAAAATGCCCTGCCCCGACTTGCAGGCACAGACCCAGTCACTACAATGCGCTAAGCCATCAGACCCAGCCTGGCGCCACAGCCCAGCAGGGAAGAAGGACTAGAGACACAACAGCTAGGCTTCCCTGCTGTATTAGCCCTGCCTCCCATGATCTCTGGCGTCACCATTCTGAAGACATCCCTTTACTAGTACAGATATAGAACAGCCCATCTCCATAGCAGCCCCAAACTCTGTTTTAGACAACCCCCAGGTCAACCGGTTCTTGCCTAGCATTCTCCCTAATAACCACTAGAACAGCCCCTTCCACTCAGCTGTCAGCCCCTCTGCCTGCTACACCATGTTCAAGGGCAGATCCAGCAAGCACAGTGGGACTCAGAAGTACAGGTGACACAGGCAAGATGAGACGGCACTGTGCTGGAGCAAGGGGGGAAAGTTTATGACTAGGAGCACTGTGTAGGAAAGCAGACTAGCCAGAAGAGAGAAGAGCTGGGGAGAGCAGTCCTACTCTGCTGAGGGCGGACACCCACCTGGAGAAGCAGGCCCTCTTCCGAGCACAGCTGCCGTAGAGCTGGGCAGAAGCTGAGGGTCTGGCTGGACAAGTGGCCTAGGCAGGAGCCAAAACTGGGTGTGGAGCAAGACTCGGCCATGATTTGGTCCAGCCCCTTCAGGGAACCAATCACTGTGGGCTAAACAACCCTATCACACAGGGCCCCAAATCAGTCCCAAAGACTCCAGAATGGGAGCAGGGAGCTCATATTCACCAGCATTCCTATGTGGATTAGGCTCTCTAACTAAGTAACTTTTGGCACCCTGCATGCTGGAGGGAGCTGGAAAGGAGGCCCTGGGAGAAGAAGACAAGGAAGTTGCTTTTCTAACTCCCATAGGAGAAATGTGAGTGCTTTAAGAATACACATCTTCTTTTACAAATATATATTTTACTTGATAGTCAGAATCACAGAGACAAAGAGGGGGAGTAAGATCTTCTATCCACCGATTTATTCCCCAAATGGCAGTAATGGCTGGATCAGAAGTGGTGCAGCCAGGACACAAACAGGTGCCTACATGAGGTGCCAGCACCACAGGTGAGATTAGCCTGATATTCCTCCCCAACACAGAAACCTTTAATGTCACTATTACGATACCCTCGTTTCACAGATAAGCACATTGGAACCCCAAGTTCATGTGACCTTTGGCGGTAACCAGATAAGAAGCCAGTGATTCCCCATGCATCCTGCTCTCAGAAGCCATCCTGTCTTCAGAAGCAATCCTTGTGAGGCACTTACTGGTACGGGGGAGAGATTCCAGAGAATGCTATGTATTTAGACAACCTAACATGATGACAGCTAATATTTGATAATTTTTAAAAGATTTTTTTTGTTTTGCTTTCCCAAAAGCAAAAAGAATTTTTCATCCTCTGGTTTACTCCTCAAATGGCTACAACAGCTTGGTCTGGGCCGGGCCAAAGCCAGGAGCCAGAAACTCTATTCTGGTCTCCCACATGGGTCAGTACTGGGCCTTCCCAGGTATGTTAGCAAAGCAGCTGGGACTCAGAACCAGCACTCCAGTATAGGAGAAGCTAGCATGGCAAGTGATGGCTCTACTGCCCCAGTTGCCACTTTTCTGAACACCTGCTATGCAATCCAGTAGTGCACTGAGTACTCTAGAAACAGTAATAAGTAACAGAGTCACAGCAGCCAATGCTTCCGAGTACCAGGCCTTAGAGGGTCAAGACTGGAGCATGCTCTAGTTCTCATAAGGAAACAAGACCTAATCTCTACATTAACAGTAATAAGTAATGAGAACTTCAATGATGTGCCTTAAGTTGGCAGGCAGCTCACTAAGAAACGCAGGTGAAAGAAGCCGCGCTGTCTGCAGTGTGACAGATGATTCACTGGGGCCTTGCCCTCGGCACTCCCACCACCAGAGCAGCACCAGATTGCTAACCTAATCAGTCACTCATGGAACACAGTTTAGATTTCAACTCATCTAGACAGATTAATATGAACTGTCTTCCTCTCTTGCCCACTGGGTAAAAGATCAAGCTGTCTTCTGACTCGCCCACACTGTTTGGGCAGATCTCTGGAGGCTGGCAAGGTATGGGCTCACAGGAACGACACTTGAACTCTGAACTCCTCGGACCAACAGAACTTGGCTCACATGCTTTCTGGGGTCACAAACGCTGGTCCCTGGAACAAGGGTCCAGTAGGCCACTCTGGGTTAACTAACCTAAAGATGCCCTGGGCCTTTTTGCACATTGCAACATCTGAATTTTCTCATTCCTCCTTGGCAAGTTTTTCTTGCTATTACAGAGATGACTGGAACTACAGAAGAGTAAGAGACAAGGTGCCCACAAAGATAAACTGAGGGAGGAAAGCAAGGGCAGGGTTGTTACATAGTTGTAAAAGCATTGGAAGGTGGCACAAATTATCAATGACAAAACTAGCCTGCTACAGATTTACTGAATTTCAAGTCCGTGCCTGTGGATGCCTTCTGGCTGTGGATGCCTTCTGGCTGTGGATGCCTTCTGGCAAGGCCAGACCAAATGATTTTCTAAGCCTCATTCTGCCCGGAGGCCAAAAGTTCCTACCCCTGCACCAAGCGGACAATGATATGGACAGGCAGGAGTCGGGTTAAACCACTGCCTGGAATGCATCCCGCAGGGAATGTGGAGTCTCAACTGTGTCACTTCCCATCCAGGTTCCTGCTATTGTGCCTGGGAAAGCAGCAGTAGAAGTTGGCTCATACCTGTGGGGCTCTACACCCACATGGGAGATCCAGGAGTAAAACAATGGGAGGCCATTTTCTCTCTCTCTCTCTCCTTAAATGTATTTGAAAGGCAGAGTTAGGGAGAGAGGGTGAGAAACAGCAAGCTTCCATCTGCTGGTTCATTCCCAAATGGCTGTTAACATCCAGGCTTCAGTCAGGGACCTGGCGCTTCATTGGAGACTTCGGCACCGACAGCAGAGGCCCAACTGTGTTTGAGCCATCTTTCACTGCTTTTTCCCAGGTACATTAGTAGGGAGCTACTTCAGAAGTGGAGCAGTGGAGACTCGAACTGGAGCCCATGTGGGATGTCAAGGATTAAGTTGCTATACCACAATGCCGGCCTCAGATCCCACTAATACTGTCTTTCAAAAATTAAAATAAATCTTTTTTTTTTTTAAAGAGTTCTATTGTGAGGGGGTTCACAGAGAACCCTTCTGGATGGCAAAAGAGTCAGGAAAGACAAGAAAAACCTGCCTTCCTCAGACACCATTCTAAGAACAAACAGCCCAGGGGCTCTCCAACACACTGCAGGGATCCAAACCCTCCGCCGTTGTACAAGCCAGAGCCAAAAGAAAGAACTGGGTTACTTCTCCAAAACTGTAACGGGGGTGGGGAGAGCCTTCCAGGACTCCTCACCCGCTCTGGTCGTGCTCTGCGCAGGACCAACTGCCCCAAGAATCCCTCCAAACCTGACTTCGGATCCGGGGACTCTCGCTCCGGTGTGAATAGCTAACCCTTAGAAAACTTGCCAGCCAGCTAGACGTAAACGTAACTTCAGGAGAGTCCAGAGAGCCATCAGGGGACGCACAGAAGGAACGCAGCTCCGATGAGCTCTGATGAGTTTTAGCCCACCCTAATCAAGCCGACCCCGCTGGTCCCAGCACCCGCGGCTCCACTGGCACCCAGCACGCGGGACTCCCCGCCACACAGCCTTCCCTTACCTCCGTGGCTCCGTCAGGAGGAGAAAGGTCCCCTGCTGCTACATGAGCTCAGCATCGCGCCCTTGTTCTGGAAAAGCAAGACAGCGACTGAGAGAAACCTCCCTCCGGTGCCTCACCACCTCGCCAGGCTGCGGGGACGCAGCACGATCTCAGCATGGAGGTGAAAGGGACGTGGTGCTCGGGGCGTTCCCAGGCTCGCGTCCTCCCGCCAGGGGTTGCCCTTCGCTCTCCACTTGGGCTCTTCTATCACCCTTACCCGCCCATTCTTACTAGGCTTCTCCTCTTTCCTCCACACGTGTCGAGCGCACCACCTCCCAGTTCATATCTCAGTCCCTTCCAGGGAGGTGAACTCGGCCGGTCCCACCCTGCCTCTCCGCCCCCAGCCTGACGTCGCGAGGCCAAGTCTCTCTCAGGTCTAGTCCACACCCTCCCTGCCCACCTGCCGGGTCTCCACACGTGTGGCCGGAGAGACGAGCCTGCGAAGCCCAGGCTGGGTGACATCGAGGTCCCGCCTCCAGCCCGCCCCGGCCGCCATGTTTACTGAGGGCATCTGAAGGAGGCCTGGGCTGCTGGCCCAGATGCAACTTCGGTTTCCGGGCGAGGCGCCTGCAGTCTGCACAGGGGCCTTCGCTAAAGGGGAAAAGAGACGAATGGGGGGGTCCTGTCAGTGCCCTCCAAAATGAAGATCTGGGGCACACGGACACCAGCCGCTGCCCTACGCAAGAGACAGCAACCCGCCGTCCGGGACGGCCGAGTAGGCCACGCCCCGGGGGACGCGCGTGTGAAGCGCTGTGGGCGGGACCGCGCTCCGGTCTCGCGAGCTCCTGAGAAGGTCGTAGGAAGCGAAACATGGCGCTTCACAAGCAGGGCCGTCGTCCGGCCCCGGTGCGCTGGGCTGCTGCCCTGCTCCTCGCCCTGGGCGTGGAACGGGCTCTGGCGCTCCCCGAGGTACAGACGCGATTTTGAGGTCTGGCTGAAGAAGGGTTGCTGGCCTGTCGGTGTATGGCGCTCGGCCGCCCGTTGCGTCCCTTCCCCCAGGCTGGCCCCTAGCTCTGTTTTCGCCCCTTCAGGTGCAGCCCCGCGGGTGCTACCCGGGGACGCCTGCCTCAGGTGCCCCCGCCCCGACTATGTCCAGAAGTCTTTGAAGTGAAATCTCTGTTTAATCTTTGGATCACTTAAAATTGTTCTTAGACAAGTTCTATACGTTCTGTGACGTTTGACAGGTGTCTGTGTACCTGCCGTCCCTTAGCACCCGACCAGATGGGACTGTCAGAATAAGACTCCGGAGGGGGCGTGACGAATAAATCAGAATAGTGATCCTTGAAGGTGTGATGGGAGTTGGGGGGGCATCTGGGAAAGAAGTGGCATCTCCTCCTCTAGCCTGATTCAGGGGGATCCTATACTGGCAGTTGGTTCCCAATCCCTGTTTTATTCATGCTTCCTTCGTTTCTGAAATCCTAACTTTTTTTTTTCTCTTCTGCAGATATGCAGCCGATGTCCGGGAAGTGTGCACAACTTCTCCGCCGTGGCAACCTATTGTGAGCAGATCCCAGGGCTAATGCTGCATGCCCGCTGCTGCCTGAACCAGGAGGGCACCATCTTGGGGTGAGGGAGGAGATGACATCCCTGGATAACTGCAACAGTTCCCAGACTGGAGGCTACGAGGTTTTTCCCGATTGGCTTTTGGGATACACATTACTGCCCAATGGGAGGCACCCAAAGTATGGTTTGCAGACTTCATAGAATTTGTTCTAGCCTTTTGGCTAAGTAAGCCACCCTGCGGTTCTTGATGGGTGAAGCTGTGTAGAAGTCATATTTTTCATGTGTCTTTTTCATGATTTTGTTTTAAAAAGAGTTTTATGTTAGTGTGCGTCTCCATGAGTTCCCCCCTCCCTTATCCTCCAAGACACTGCTGTGGTGGCTTTGCTGCCTTTTCTGATGTGTGCATGTTTGTGTTTGGGATAAGTTCCTCTGTCTCCATATGCAGGTCAGTCCCTCAGATTCACTCCTCCTTGGCCTCGCTGTTTTCTTGGTCTCTGCAGTCTTTGCAGAGTCTTCCCATTCTTGGTGCTTTCCCTGTAACCAGAGCTCTTAGTGTGTCTGTTGACTTTCTCGAGGTGCCAAGCACATGTGTACAGCTTCCTGTTGAATACTTCCTCCTGAGGGTACCCTCCCATCAAACTGCAAATGCCACACCTGGCTTCTATCCTTGTCTTTCCCTAACATGTTTCTATATATGCAACTTTCTGAAAAGCAGAAATTCCCCATGATCACTTTCTTGCTTTGATTTAGAACTTTAACCTTCAGCTTAAAGTTCAAACCGTGAACCACCACAGACTAGACCTCACCCACTTTTCCAACATCATTCTAGTCACTCATCCATTCAAAACCCCCTTAAGAAACTAGCTCCCATAAGACTGGCTGATCCTCCTAAGACATTCCACGACTCCACATATCCAAAATTACTATCCTCTGCCAAATTAGGACACAATATTGAATGATCCCTTCTTTTAAATCTCAGGGTAGTATCTTTTTTGTTTGGTTGGTTTGTTTTTGTTTTTAAACATCTGATTCTCAATATCCATTCACTCAAATTTATATATGGTCCTGTGGGGTTTTTTGTTTTTTGTTTTCATCTTATAAATTTTAATTGTCTGCTTCCCCTACAGTATCACGTGCCATTTAAGGGCTAAGACACTAAGTTCTATGTTTTTTATATTTTCCCAATTTTGGTAGCTGAAAGACACTTACTAAATACTTGTAGGATAAAGCAATGGACAGTAACAGGTATTGCAGAAACAATCTTTTTAATGTGACATGTCCTTGATGTCCAGGAGTTTGTCACCAGTCTATGGTAGAAAATGGACTTGGAAACACTTTTATTTTTTTTTTAAAGGCATACTATGATCTCAAATCAATGTAATTTGAGTCATCCTTATGCACAAGAAATATGCCATACCTGTTAGTACAGTAACTATGAAGATTTACACTTGAAAAGTAGCCAATGCGAGTGAGTTGCTAGGTTAAAGTAATGTGTAGCTAGTGGTGACTACTGGGTAATACAGGATAATCTACCACAATATCTAGTTGGTAGCTGAACACAGCTGTGTTCTAGTAATATTAGCTGAAAAGGATAGGTTATATAGTCACACATCAACCTTGCCATGGAAGAAGAGAAAAAAACACACATAGTTAACACTAACCACTTTATTTCCTCAGGCTGGATCTGCAGAATTGCTCTCTGAGAGACCCTGATCCAAACATTACTCAGGCACACACTGCTGTCATCATGTAAGTAGTTAGGTACCCTTTCACCCAGAAAGTAGACGTGGTTACAAGCTGATGGAGAGGTCTTCGGGGGGATGGACTCCCAAAAGGATGGATGAATATTAATGTCTAAAGTGGGGAATGTCAGGAGAGGGGTTCCATTACCGGTACAGTAAGATGCATGCCTGTCAGGAGGGATGCTTGGCTGAACTGTGCTAACAACGTATGCTTTGCAGAGAGCTGCAAGCAAACCCTCTGCAGGCCGACCTGACCAACACATTCCGGGGCTTCACACAGCTCCAGACTCTGTGAGTAAGGGCACAGGCTGGTGGCAGTGCCAGGAGCTCAGCACCCGGAGGCTGCACATTGTGACCACCGTGTTGTCTTCAGGGTACTTCCACAAGATGTCAACTGTCCTGGGGGAATCAGTGCCTGGAATACTGTCAGCTCTTACACAGACAACCAGACCTGCCAAGGACAGAAGAACCTGTGTAATAACACCCAAGCACCAGGTACACATCTCTCCCGTCTTCTCCTTCCTGCCTCCATCCTACACTTTCCATCAGAAAGACAAAAATGCTGCACTGTTTTTTGTTTAGAGTTCCAAGGCTCTTAAAGACCCTTGGGAAAGAAAGATCTTAAGATGCATCCCTGCCATTGTTTGGTGTGATGATCTATCTTTCTTCTCCTTGTACCTGAGATGGTTGAGGGACCCTAAGTTGAAATAGGTGTATCAGCAACACACCTAACGGGATGTGGTGATGGTCTCCATTTCTGCTTCCCAGATACGTGTCCTGAGAATGGATTTTGTGTACCTGATGGACCAGGTTTCTCACAATGTGTATGTGCTGATGGCTTCCACGGATACAAGTGTATGCGCCAGGTGAGAATTCGGGCCTTCTCCCTGCAAGGAGAGCCAGAAAGTTCCGGGGAGGAACACGATAGAATTGCCTGAAGCTGGGAAGAAGTCGGTGTTAGGGCGCGTCGTGAATGCTGGTCTCCATCTGTCCTTCACAGGGCCAGTTCCCGCTGCTTATGTTCTTCGGGATCCTGGGATCCACCACCCTGGCCCTCTCTGTTTTGCTTTGGGGGACCCAGCGCCGAAAAGCCAAGATTTCCTGATGCGCAAAGGTCTTCCCTGCTGACTTTAGCCCAGGCATCTATGGCCAGCGTATGCTCCTGGAGACTGAAGCCGCTGCTGGAAGGAAGATGGGGGGAATGCACCTGTGGACGCTCCTGGTCAAGAAGGGACCAGTACCCCCTTCCCATGTGGGCGGCTAACTGTAGTAATTACAATAAACATTCCGTTTCTCTTTTTAGGGAAAGGCGTCCTACCTTTGTGTTGCTTCTTGCTGGGGGTGGGAGGCTCCCCTCGAGGGGGCGTCCGCTTGGCAGGCCGCCCGGCCGCGCGGACCCCGCCGGCCCCGCCCCTTACGTGCCGGCCCGCCCTTCACGCCGCCGGCTGCCCGCGCCGCCGCAGTTGCCTCGCCGCCGCAGAGCGCGCCCCGGCTCCTGTGCTTGCGGCGCCCGCCTTCTGCCTCGGCCGCCCGGCGCAGCCAGCCACGTGGACCGACTCGGGCACGCCGCTTCACGTGGATTCCGGGGAGCTCGCCGCGCTTCCCGCGTCTCCGTGCTCGCCGCCACGCTCTAGCGCCCTGCCCATGGCGGCCTTGGTGTTAGAAGATGGGTCGGTCCTGCGGGGCCAGCCCTTTGGGGCCGCTGTGTCGACTGCCGGGGAAGTGGGTAAGCAAGCTCGGGCAGACTTCCACCGACCTCATATCCCGTTCTGATGCCCCTCTCTGCCCTGCCAGCCCTGCCCGGACCCCGCCATCTTCCGGCGCGCGCATTCCTCTACACCCCTCCTCCCGGGCCCGTCTCGTCTCCCGCACGGGGTACACTCAGAGCACGGGGCGGTGTGGAGAGGCGGATGCCCCGCGCGAGTGCAGCCCCACCTCTGTCTTGCAGTGTTTCAGACCGGCATGGTCGGCTACCCCGAGGCCCTCACCGACCCCTCCTATAAAGCTCAGATCTTGGTGCTGACATACCCCCTGATCGGCAACTATGGCATCCCTCAGGACGAGGTGGATGAGTTCGGCCTCAGCAAGGTCAGCCACACCCAGGGCTTTTCTTGCATTCCTCTGACCCCTTCGCTGAATGCCAGCGTCCACGCCCCGTGCCGCGTCCTGAAGGGATCGGGGATACTCGCTCAAGTGGGACAAGTCGTGGGCTGGCTGGATTCCCTGGCAGGCTTGGTGGGCGCCTCCGGGCTGGGGCTGTCTGCTTTGTGAGGGTCGTCGAGGCACCAGACGCAATGGAGGGGATTGGGGACAGGGAGAGTGGTGAGAGGGAGGAGGTGACAGTGGTGTCGGTTTGCTTAGAGTGCAGTAGCTTACAAAAAGATTCGGGAACTGCATCAGGTGGGGCTATGAGGCCTGACCCGTGGTAGGTTTTTAGCAGTAGAGTCCTGTGTTAGGAGCATAACATTAGGTTCGGATTAACAAGTAGCGGAGACCAACGAGCCAAGGTCATGCCCTGTCAAGGACAGCAAGTGTGGCTTTCCTGAAAATCCAGGCATGCTGAATGCTATGTTCCACACCACCATAGCAGCAACTATCCCTCCCCCACCTGGCTTACTACCTCCAAGCAAGACAACTCACTTTGTTTTTACATTGAGTATTCTCTTCCTTCCTCATTATTTGGAAACTAAGTTACCCTGTGAGAAATCTTCATCAGAATTAACAAGACACCATAGCCCCTTTTCCCAAAAACTTGTTTTGTCTTCTTTACTGGCTTGCTGAGCCCTAAAATCTTCATTTGCCTTCCCAGTTACCTTGTTGCTGGGGAGAAAGAACTCAAGGGATGGGACCACCATCCCTTATTCATCCTTCTTTAATAATTGGTTTGTTTACTTTAAAAGAGAGAGGAAGCTCCTCCAATCACATAGTCACTTCGCAGATGGTCACAGTGCAAGGGCTGGGCCAGGATGAAGCCAGCAGCTTCCTCCAGGTCTCCCACATTTGTGGCAGTAGCCCAAACCCTTGGAGCTGTCCCCTGCTGCCATCCCCAGGCCATCAGCAGGGAGCCGGATCAGAGGTAAAGCCACCGGGATGTGACCCAGCACGCATATGGGTTGCAGGTGTCATGGGCAGCCGCTTCACCCCCTAGAGACACCCTCATCATAAATCTTTAAATACCCTGCATGCTAGTTTCTAATGCAGTGTCTTGCAACTTTGAAGCTGACGCTTGGGTTGTCGGCTTCCTCAGCTCTAAACACAGACAAGATTGAGCTTATAAAGCAGACTGCTAACACCAAGATCAGTGCGGCGTCCTCCGAACCAGTAACCAGCACCGGCTATTCTGAGGCGCATGCGCTGTCAGTGCATCTGCACGCAGGTGCATTGCTGGGTTGGGTGGACTTTTGCCCGACTGTCCTTCGGCTCAGTGTCCACTTGCCCCATAACCCTTCACTGCGGACCCAGCTGTAGAGATGCTGCTCCCTCCCACCGAAACCTCTTGTTTCTCTGGTTATTAAATCCTGCCTATTGAATCCACTGGCTCACCAAATATCCACTGCAATAGGTATGGGACAGTCAAGAATTTGATCCGGATCTGCCACGTGGGTGACAGGAACTCAACTACTTAAGGCTTCCTGCATCTGTCTTAGAAGGCAGTTGGAGCCTGGCGCTGAACCCAGGCACTCTGATTGGAGACTGGTAGTCTGCCTGAAAAGCCAAATATCTGTCCCCTTTTTTGTTGATTTCTAAAAAGAGTGATTTATTTGAGGCAGGGTGACAAAGAGATTGGGGGAGAGATCTTTAGCTTGCTGGCTGCAAAAGCTAGGCCTGGTTAGGGCCAAGATTCAGTAACTCCATCCGGGTCTCCCACGTGAGGTACAAACACATGAACAGGAAACTGGATAGGAAGTGAAGTGGCTGGGACTTTAGCCTGAAGCTCTGATATGTAATGCCAGTGTCACAGTGTCTTAACTTGCCATGCCACTACACCAAACCACTTCTGTCTATATGTTTTTAAGGTCTCTTTGTTTATTTCAAAGTAAGAATTAGAGAAGGAGAAGAGGCTGAGAGAGCTGGTTCACACCCCAAGTGACTGCCACAGCTAGGGTTGAGTCAGACTGAAGTGAAGAGTCAGGTCTCTCACCTCCACTGCTTTTCCTAGGCCCTCAGGCACATGGACCAGTGCCTGTGGAATGCGAGCATTCCAGGCCTTACCTGCTGCACAGTAACGCTGCTCCCCAAACCTACCTATCTTATCACTTTTTTTTTGGTTATGTTCTGTAATTAATATTTATTTGCAAGTTTCCTTGCTACTTTTCTGGTTCCTTACATTGAAACCTCGTGAGCACAGGGATTTTTTTTTCTCCCAGCTTCTTCCCCAGTATCTGTTTTGTTGGCTGCACCTACTGGGCACTTTGTGGATTGGGACCGTGTCTTAAGCACCTTTTGGGGTTCACAGTTTTGTGACAAACACAAATATTAAAGAGCAAGAAAGGGGGAAATGAAGTCAGAGGCACCAACTTCACAGAAGGGGAGATTTGTGGCCTCTATTTGAGACAAAGGAAAAGGAAGGGACCACAAAAATGTCATTATCAACATCCCCCGGGGATAGCCCTGTCGGCACAGCAACTACCTGTAAAAGCATCAAGTGCATCAACTAAAGGAACAGCTGGCTGTTACTCAGCGTAGCGAGGTGTGGGGTCCCTGGCTATACAACAGGAAGAAGGTCGGAAGCAGGTTCAGAGCCTTGAGAGCCTCACTGTCTCCTCGCCTCTCCAGTGGTTTGAGTCCTCCGGGATCCACGTGGCAGGACTGGTGGTGGGAGAGTGCTGCCCCACACCCAGCCACTGGAGTGCTGCCTGCACCCTGCATGAGTGGCTTCAGCAACACGGCATTCCAGGCTTGCAAGGTACGGTGACACCAGCACAGGGCGAATATGGCCCGCCTGGGTGGGATGGATCCAGGTGTCCCTCCATAGTCTGTTGGGGAAGGTCATGATGGCAGGTTTGGAAAGCCTGTTGTGGGGGCTGGAACTGAACTAACACTCGGATAGAAGAATTTCCTTGCTGGTTCACTCCCCAAATGGTACCAATGGCTAGAGCTGAGCCAGTCTGAAGCCAGGAGTTTCCAGGTCTCCCATGTGTGTGTGTTTAAGGTCCTAAGGACTTGACTTGTCCTCCACAGCTTTCCCAGACGACAAGCAGGAAGCTGGATGGGAAGTAGAGCTTCCCATACAAGATGCTGGCACTACAAAGCAGATAGCCTATTGAGCCAGGGTTTTTTTTTGTTTTTCTTTAATGAGGATTCTAAATAAGGCTCACCTGTGACGTATTTGACATAAACAGGTGGTTTTTTCTTTTCCCCTAGAGAATCCCATAGTTGGTGCTGTGCTGTTTACATCCACACAGGGTCTTTTAGTGTGGGTGTTTTTTTCTTTTTGCCCCTTGATACCATCTTCTGTAAATAGATAGATCTGGTGTCGTGGGTAAGTTCCCATGGGGTGTGACTGGCAAACATGCCTCAGTCATGCAATGCCATCAGGACAGCCCAGCTGTATGTGGCTCAGGGTCCCGAGCAAAAGTGTGCCTGGGACCTGAGCCCATGTGCCTAAGGTGGGGGTGCGACATAGGCTGAGCTGTTTTAACAGGAGTGGACACTCGGGAGCTGACCAAGAAGTTACGGGAACAAGGGTCTCTGCTGGGGAAGCTTGTGCAGGATGGGACGGAGCCTGCAACCCTGCCATTTTTGGACCCCAATGCCCGCCCCCTGGTCCCAGAGGTGTCCATCAAGGTACAGAGGTGGAGTGGGAGAAGTGTAACCCAGGTGTTGCCTCCCACCCATGGCTGGGGTGAACACGGGTATATCAGGAGGTCTCAAAGCCCAGGGTGGGAGGGTATTTTATGCCTAAGGCTCACAGCTGCCATCTGTCACCTTCCTTTTCCCAGACCCCACGGGTGTTCAATGCTGGAGGAAGCCCTCGGATCCTGGCTTTGGACTGCGGTCTCAAGTATAATCAGATCCGCTGCCTCTGCCGGCGTGGGGCTGAGGTCACCGTGGTGCCCTGGGACACGGCAGTTGACAGACAGAGTGAGTTGCTGGGGCTTGTGAGGACCTTGGGCCAACAGCCGGGGCAGGGTGGAGGGAGAGGTTATTGAGAATGCTCTCTGACCCTGCTGTGCTGTGAAGAGGGAGAAGACTAGGGCTGCTTGGTCCTTGTTTGGTTGGGGCTGCAGGTGCAGCTGTTCTGCATTAAAATTCTGCTTTGCTTGTTTTGGCACACTTCAGAGTACGACGGTCTCTTCCTAAGCAATGGCCCAGGCGACCCTGCCTCCTACCCCAGTGTGGTGTCTACACTCGGCCGTGTGTTATCTGAACCAAACCCACGACCTGTCTTCGGGATCTGCCTGGGACACCAGCTCCTGGCCCTTGCCATTGGGGCCAAGACTTACAAGATGAGGTAGGACTTAACAGGCAGGGTTAAGGAGGGGAGAAAGAGGCTCACGCTTGTGACATGAGGGGTGAGGGCTTAGGAGAGATGGTGCCACTTAGCATGGGAGCAGGAACAGGGCTGGAAAGAGTAATAAGAGCAAGGCTTGGTGCCACAGTGAAGGGAGGTGCAGGGGCCTGGAACTCAGCATTGTTTCCCCCTCCAGGTATGGAAACCGAGGGCATAACCAGCCTTGCTTGCTGGTGGACTCTGGACGCTGCTTCCTGACCTCCCAGAACCATGGCTTTGCCGTGGAGACAGACTCACTGCCGGCAGGCTGGGCACCTCTCTTCACCAACGCCAACGATCAGTCCAACGAAGGCATTGTGCACGAGAGCCTTCCCTTCTTCAGGTGAGCCTGTAGGGCTAGGTGTCGCAGGCCATGGTGGGACCTCAGAGGCAGCACAGCATGGCAGAGGGCCTGCATCCTCTGTTCCCCTGTCCACCTTGGAGCGTGGGTTTTACCATCCATTCTCTTGACCAGCGTCCAGTTTCACCCAGAGCACCAGGCTGGCCCTTCTGACATGGAGCTACTCTTCGATGTCTTCCTGGAAACTGTGAAAGAGTCCATGGCTGGGAAGCCTGGGAGTCAGACAGGTAAGGCCCTGCATGGTGCATGTAGAATAGAAGGGGGTCATGAGCCTAAGGGCAGAGTTGGCTCCAGGGTAGATGAGGATAACTGGATGTCCCCTGCCTCCTCCAGGAAGCTCTTGTTTGGGATGCTTGAGGTGTGGGGGTTAAGACAGCCACCATGCCAGACTCACCTGCTCAGTGAGGAGGGCAGCATCCTTACACCCACGGCTCTTGCCTCCACAGTCCGTGAGCGGCTGGCTGAGTGCCTCTGTCCCCCTGGGATGCCCATCCCAGGCTCTGGCCTTCCGCCTCCACGTAAGGTGCTGATCCTGGGCTCAGGGGGCCTCTCCATCGGCCAAGCAGGAGAGTTTGACTACTCGGGCTCCCAGGTAAGGTACAGCCATCCCTGGGAGTGACCATTGGGAGTGCATGGAGCCCAAGGAGAGGGGCTGAGGGAGAGGGAGGGAGCAAGTGGAGCAGGAGGCCTGGGGGTTGTGTGGAGATGTGAAGTGGTGAGGAATGAATGTTACTGGGGACATAGAGAGGAGAGGAGGAGGAGAAGGGCTGGCCTGGGCACTCAGAGGCCGGTCTCATCCTCTTAGGCGATTAAGGCCCTGAAAGAGGAGAACATCCAGACCTTGCTGATCAACCCCAACATCGCCACGGTGCAGACCTCACAGGGGCTGGCTGACAAAGTCTACTTCCTTCCCATTACACCTCACTATGTCACGCAGGTACAATGGGTTAGGGCTCCCCGCTAAGAGGACACTAAGCTAGTCACGGGGACTCAGTGGCCATGACTGCCTCTCCCGCCCCAGGTGATCCGGAATGAGCGGCCAGATGGTGTGTTATTGACCTTTGGTGGCCAGACAGCTCTGAACTGCGGTGTGGAGCTGACCAAGGCTGGTGTGCTGGCTCGGTATGGAGTCCGGGTCCTGGGCACGCCTGTGGAGACCATTGAACTAACCGAGGACCGCCGGGCCTTTGCAGCCAGAATGGCGGAGATTGGGGAGCACGTGGCCCCCAGTGAGGCAGCAAGCTCTCTGGAACAGGTGCACAAGGTGGCTGGGAGAGTAGGGTGATGTCTCTGTGGTGTGGGTCCAGGCAACGGGAGGTAACACATGTGGGGCTTCTCTCTCCTACTCCCTGCAGGCCCAGGCAGCTGCTGAGCGGCTGGGTTACCCTGTACTGGTGCGGGCAGCCTTTGCCCTGGGCGGCCTGGGCTCTGGCTTTGCTTCCAATAAGGAGGAGCTCTCTGCTCTTGTGGCACCAGCTTTTGCCCACACTAGCCAAGTGCTAGTGGACAAATCCCTGAAGGGATGGAAGGAGATCGAGTATGAAGTGGTGAGAGACGCCTACGGCAACTGTGTCACGGTGAGTGCCAGGTGTGCGCTCTGAAGAGTAGAGCCCAGGGCTCATACCAGGTCAGGGACAGCCCCAGGGATAACCAGACAGCACCCTGGAATGCAGCCCCCTGCCTCACCTCATCAGTGACTTCTCTCTGGGACACCCCCCTCCACCCCATACACAGGTGTGTAACATGGAGAACTTAGACCCACTGGGCATTCACACTGGTGAGTCCATCGTGGTGGCCCCAAGCCAGACCCTGAATGACAGGGAGTACCAGCTGCTGCGGCAGACGGCAATCAAGGTGACTCAAGCCCTGGGCATCGTTGGGGAATGCAACGTGCAATATGCCTTGAACCCAGAGTCTGAGCAGGTGAGTCTCCTGGCCCCATGGACCCTGGAGCAGATGCTGGGATCATCTGGGTAGGGAGGGGGGTCTTAGAGGGCTTATTTTACTTATTCTCATCTCCCGAGATCTCTCCTAGGCAGGCCCAGGTGCCTGGTGATCCTTTTTCTCTGTTCTCTATAGTATTATATCATCGAAGTGAATGCCAGACTGTCTCGCAGCTCTGCCCTGGCCAGTAAGGCCACAGGCTACCCATTGGCCTACGTGGCAGCCAAGCTGGCCTTGGGCATTGCCCTGCCTGAGCTCAGGTAATGGGGGACGGGAAGAAACCACTGGTGCTAAGAGAGTGGGTAGAGCTGAAGACAAAATTGACAGGATGGGGGAGTGTGGGAAGGGTGCTGGCCTACCTCTCTGGGGCTCACCCTCTTCTCATGTGGGCTCCCAGGAACTCCGTGACGGGGGGCACGGCAGCCTTTGAGCCCAGCCTGGATTACTGTGTGGTCAAGATTCCTCGCTGGGACCTAAGCAAGTTCCTGCGTGTGAGCACCAAGATCGGGAGCTGCATGAAGAGTGTGGGTGAGAGCTGGGCCCAGACCACCTGCCCCCACCCCCGCCCCAGAGACTATGTTCTAGGCTGTCGCAGGACCCTGGTATGGCCCTCAGCCCCAAGATCGAGCACCCAGAAAGGAGCTGAAGGAATATTTCAGGTGAAGATGGTGGCCATCGTCATTGTTAGATGCAGGGCCCCAAGGTCATCTGCAGATCAGTGTGGGGTGCTAGGTCCTCTGACTGTTCTGTCTTGTGTCACACATGGGTACACTTAGATGCCTTGGGAAGCAGATGACCAGACCATGGCCAAGGAGGATGGGTGGCACAGCCAAGCGCTAAGTATTAGTCTGGGTCCCCAGCTGCATGGGCCCTGGCCAGCCACGGTGCCTGCCACCCTGGACTGTTCTGAGCAGCTCTTCCCACATTTCGTGGCATTTTGCCCGTGACCTCATCACTGAGCGGTTAATGCCAGTGGTATTATTGTGTACCCTGTTAGCTTCAGTACTGATGTCGTGGGAAAACTGGGACTACTCTTTTTCTGGGACCCTTTCTAGATACCAACAGGCACCATTGGCAGTCGTTCATAGCACAGGTCCTCTGACACTTTCCAGTCATCAAGAGAAATGTTTTTGTGACGTGTTGCTGGAATCAGGGCAGGACCTCAGGGATGTGGTTGAATGAACAGCCATGTAGCAAGTCACAGTGGAGCTGCTCTGTGCTGTCACTTCAGGTGCCTTAGTCCGCCCTTAAACACATTTTAATCCAAACCAGCATGTACACACAGCAGACAGAGCGCACCCAACCTCATGGGTGAGAACACATCTTGGTGCCCCAGTTTCCATTGCCAGCCATAGTGGCCTTTAAACAAGCAAGTCTCAGCTCAGAAATGACTTCAGGGTTTTTACAAATCCTACACGGCTGCCAAGTTGGTCCTTCTGGAGACGGATTTGTGTCATGACAACGATAACAAACATGGGAAGGAAGCCATCATAAAGTTAGGGCTAAAGGAAGTGAACCAAACATGGTTCAGCTAGGTATTAAAGGGACATCTAAATGTGGTACATCTGTTCAGGTGTGCTCAGAATGGGAGCCCTAACTTTTTGCAAGTTTCATTATACAGGTAAGATACATGAGTCATTGAGAAATGAGGGAAGATGGTTTAGCCAAAGAAAAACTATAATCTTGCCACAAAAAGATAAAAGCAATTTAGATATTTAATTTTAGAAATTTCCTAGACATACATATGTAAATTTGTAAGTTTTTTTTCCTTTCAAGATTTATTTATCTATTCGTCTTTGTTTGAAAGTCAGACTTGGAGAGAGAAGGAAGAACACAGAGAGAAAAATCTTGCAAATGATCACCAGTAGCTGGAGCTGAGCTGATTCAAAAGCCTGGAGCCAAAAGCTCCTTCTGGGTCTCCCATGTGGGTGCTGGAGTCCAAAGACTTAGGCATCTCCTGCTGTCTTACCAGCCTTCAAGTAGGGAGCTTGATGGCTAGTAGCTGGAATATGAATGGGCACCCATATGGAATGCTGCTGCTTGCAAGTAGACCACTAACCTGTTGAGCCCCTGTGCCGATGGATTAATTTATTTGGAAAGCAGAATTACAGTGAAGGGATGAAAGACAGAGGGAAAGATAGAGATCTTCCATCTACTGGCTCACTGCCCAAATGGCTGCAGTAGCTGGGGCCAGGCCATGCCAGAATCAAGCTGCTTCTGGGTCTCCCAGAAGTGGAACCACCTGGGCCATTTTCCCAGGACATGAACCAACACCCTTATGGGATGCCCGCATTGCAGGTGGCAGCCTTACCCACTCTCCCACAGTGTCAGCCCCAAAGCCACAGACTTCTGTAAAGCAAGGGACCTTTTTATCAAGGGACATAAAGTTTGTCTTTCCCTTGGGTTTCTAGAAATTTGTTCTAAAAAGATGATCCAAAATTGAGAAAACATCAAAGCGTGTCATTGGCTGGGCATCGCTTCAAAGCTGGCCACGCTCCAGCTAGTCAGCAGTGAAGTTACGGTTCCTCAGACAGGAGTTAGATGGGTGCTTTATGAGTCTCACAGCAACATGAGAAAATGTACTGTAGAAGGCAAGATGGAACATGAGTGCACACTGTGTTCAAGTGAAAAAAACGCCCTTGAGGAAAGCTGAAGTTGTAAATGCAGTCGGCTCTGGATGGATCAGAACTAAGCTCATCTTCCTAGTCTCCAAACTTTCAAAATTAAAGCAGGGGTGGGTGACTTTTTTTTTTTCTTAAGATTTATTTCTTCATGTTGAAAAAGCAGATAAACAGGAAGATCTTCCGTCCGTTGATTCACTCCCCAAGTGGCCACAACAGCTGGAGCTGAGCTGATCCGAAGCCAGGAGTTTCTTCTGGGTCTCCCACATGGGTGCAGGGTTCCAAGGCTTTGGGCCATCCTTGACTGTTTTCCCAGGCCACAAGCAGGGAGCTAGACCAAGGACATTTATGGGCCTCACATAACTATGGACCCACCCCTGTGCTAAAGGATGAGATAGGTTCCAGGTGATGTCATCTTGATGTGCGTAAACCAAGCCCAAGAACCAGACAGCCACATGTGAGGGCTTCAGGCAAGAGCTGCTCAGGAAGAGACAGATCTTCATTCTCTGGTTCATTCCCCAGATGACCGCAATGGCCAGGGCTGAACCAGATGTCAGACACTTCTGGTCTCCTATGTGGGTGCAGGAGCCCAAGTCCTTGGGTAATCTTTTTTCCCCCCCATTTTTTAAATTATATTTTTGGCAATCTTTACATAGTTAATTAGGGTAAAAAGTTCAAGGGCTACAGGAAAATGGGTAAGACTATTATTTCCATATTGTTTCCTTCATATATCTGAGGTAAAGGGGGATTTTAAGAGAAGCTCCACCCAGTTTCCCACCCACCCCAGGTCCCTGATGTGGGGCATGCCCCAAGGGTCTTGCTCAGGTGGTTTTGATGGTTCAGCAGTTATGAATTGCTGCCAGTCTCGCCACTCTTTGGGCCATCTTACACTGCTTTCACAAGTCATTAGTAGGGAGCTGGATGAGACGTGAAATAGAACACAAACCGGTACCCATGTGGGATGCTGACTTACCCCAATGCCAGGCCCACCGTTTTATGCTTATTAATGCCATATTCCCTAACAGACAAGAACTGATCGTTGGAACTTGTAAGTTTAAGAACTCAATAGAGCAGCACTGAGAATCTCAGACAAACTGGACATCTTGGGCAGCACGTGCCACCCTCCTTGCCCCCTGCCCTCAGTCCGTCCTCCCTGCCCCTCCAGGTGAAGTCATGGGCATTGGACGTTCGTTTGAGGAGGCCTTCCAGAAAGCCCTGCGCATGGTGGATGAGAACTGTGTGGGCTTTGATCATACTGTGAAGCCGGTCAGCGATATGGTAAGTGGTTCCCATGTTCTGGAAGTTCCTGGAAAATGAACCCTGCTTCCCTGCCCCCAGGCCATGAGCTGGCTGCCAGTAATGATTGGTGAGTCACCATTGGACACTCGCTGAGAATTCTGGGGCTGTCTCCCAACGTGAGGGTGCACTGTTGTTTCACTCCAGAGGTTCTGGATGTTGCTGAGCACCAGAGTCAGGGCTGGGTTCATCTGGGCATCTGCTCAGCCAGCCAGGGAGAGGCAGGGCCAGGCTCACCAAGGTGTCTCTGATTGCTCAGCCTGTGCTGGAGTGCCTAGCTTCTCTTTCCTAATGTATAGGATGCCACTCAAGCTTTCCAAGTTTTAGAGGGGCTGATGTGCAACAGGCTGGGAACCTTGGTGCTTTAGCATGGAATGGCTTATTGTTGGGAGACTGACAAGGAGAAAAGAACTCCTGTCCCCTGGGGCGTTGCCTCCCAGGGTCTGCTCCAGCAGGAAGTGAGGGTAAGGAGGCCCGCTGAGAGTTGAAACCAGGCCCTCCATGAGGGATGCAGATGCCTTAACCACCAGGCCAGGTGTCCCCCACTTGGTAAACATTCTTTTCTCCATCTGCCCAGTTGTTTCTGTGTCATCCCATCTGTCTTATCCCTGCAGGAGCTGGAGACGCCGACCGACAAGCGGATCTTTGTGGTGGCCGCCGCCCTATGGGCTGGCTACTCGGTGGAGCGCCTCTACCAGCTCACCCGCATCGACCGCTGGTTCCTGCACCGGATGAAGCGCATCATAACGCATGCCCAGCTGCTGGAGCAGCACCGTGGGCAGCCTCTGCCTCCAGACCTGCTGCATCAGGCCAAGTGCCTCGGCTTCTCAGACAAGCAGATTGCCCTGGCGGTTCTGAGGTCAGAGCTAGTGCTGAGGGCCTGTGGCTTAGACATGGAGGGCAGAGCGTAGGATCTTCCCCCTCTAGCTGTCTAGGACCTGACCCTGCTTGCTGCTTCTTCAGCACAGAGTTGGCTGTGCGCAAGCTGCGCCAGGAGCTGGGAATCTGCCCAGCAGTGAAGCAGATCGATACAGTTGCAGCTGAGTGGCCAGCACAGACCAACTACCTGTACCTGACCTACTGGGGCAATAGCCATGACCTCACCTTCCAGACACCTCATGTTCTGGTCCTTGGCTCCGGCGTCTACCGCATCGGCTCCAGTGTTGAGTTTGACTGGTGTGCCGTGGGCTGTATCCAGCAGCTGCGGAAGGTGGGTGTTGACCCTTCAGACGCATTTCTGTGCTGCTCTGCCGGTTCCTGGCAGAACACTCAGCCTTGCCACACCTACCCCTACCCTCCGAGGCCACTGCTCATGCCGCATGCCTTCAACTCCTCCTCCAGCACCTGCGCTGCCTTGTTTCCCTGTCAGGCGATTTGGAGGAAGCTGAGTGGGCATGCTTAGGGGTGCAGACTTGGTTTTTCCCTGCTGCTCCCCCCAGTGCTAACTGCCATTACTCTTGCTGTTGCAGATGGGGTACAAGACCATCATGGTGAACTACAACCCAGAGACTGTCAGCACCGACTATGACATGTGTGACCGACTCTACTTCGATGAGATCTCCTTCGAGGTGAAGGGACAAGGGCTGCCCGGGAGCCTGGGTGGACAGGGCCAAGAGTCACTGGAATATAAAGGAAGGGGCCTGTATTGCAAGAAGCCTCTGATCCCCTGACCACTGTTGTTGCCTCTGTGTGTGTGTGTGTGTGTGTGTGTGTGTGTCCCCACCCACACTCCAGGTGGTGATGGACATCTATGAACTGGAAAACCCCGAAGGTGTGATCCTGTCCATGGGTGGGCAGCTGCCCAACAACATGGCCATGGCTTTGCACCGGCAGCAGTGCCGGGTGCTGGGCACCTCCCCTGAAGCCATCGACTCTGCTGAGAACCGGTTCAAGTTCTCCCGGCTCCTAGACACCATCGGTATCAGCCAGCCCCAGTGGCGGGAACTCAGTGACCTCGAGGTGGGCTAGTGGCTTTGTGGGTGGCCGTCTGGGTGATGCGTGGGAGCCAGCATGACCAGCTGACTGAGTGCCCCATCCTCTTCAGTCTGCTCACCAGTTCTGTCAGTCTGTGGGGTACCCCTGCGTAGTCCGCCCCTCCTACGTCCTGAGTGGTGCTGCCATGAACGTGGCCTACACTGATGGGGACCTGGAGCGCTTCCTGAGCAGTGCGGCAGCTGTCTCCAAGGAGCACCCCGTGGTCATCTCCAAGTTCATTCAGGAGGCTAAGGTGAGTGACCAAAGTAAGTGCCCAGCCCCAGGCTTAAAAGCACCGTAGGTTGTGTTGAGGCTATAGTGGGAACCTGGCCTTGTCCTACGTCACACTGTTGTTCCATCCCTACCTGCTACTAGGAGATCGACGTGGATGCTGTGGCCTGTGACGGGTTGGTAGTAGCCATCGCCATTTCTGAGCACGTGGAGAATGCAGGCGTGCACTCCGGCGATGCCACACTGGTGACACCCCCACAGGACATCACACCCAAAACTCTTGAGCGGATCCAAGCCATTGTACATGCTGTGGGGCAGGAGCTGCAGGTCACGGGCCCCTTCAACCTGCAGCTCATTGCCAAGGTAATCAGGCCACAGGGAGGGGCAGGAAGGCCATAGCACCACTTGGCCCTACACAGTCTCCTAATGACCCCTGCTATGCCCTGAACTGGGAAGGAAGGGCAGCAGGGAGGGTCAGCAACTTCAGTGAGAGTGGCAGAGAGTCACAGGTTGGTGAGAGCATGGCAGCGGCAGTGAGGCCAAGGCCTGTCCCACTCCCTCCCGCAGGACGACCAACTGAAGGTCATCGAGTGCAACGTGCGCGTCTCCCGCTCCTTCCCCTTCGTCTCCAAGACGCTGGGTGTGGATCTGGTGGCCTTGGCCACACGGGTCATCATGGGAGAAAAGGTGGAGCCTGTGGGGCTCATGGCTGGCTCCGGAGTCGTGGGGGTAAAGGTAAGGAGGGCCAGGCCCCTTGGGGGCAGCAGATGGATCTTAGGAGAGGACAAGTCGGGATCCGGATGTCTTTGTCCCAAGGTGCTTTTCTTTTCAGTTGTGGGAGCCCGGAGACTCATAGAATAGCCGGTGATACCCGTATGTACTGTCCTGGAGTGGGTCCTGGACTGTCATCCCTCACACTTGGCTCTCTTTCCTCCTGTCTCTTCCCCCACCCTCCCTCAGGTACCTCAGTTCTCCTTCTCTCGTTTGGCGGGTGCAGATGTAGTATTGGGTGTGGAAATGACCAGTACTGGGGAGGTTGCCTGCTTCGGCGAGAGCCGCTGTGAGGCCTACCTCAAGGCCATGCTAAGCACCGGCTTCAAGATCCCCAAGAAGAACATCTTGCTCACCATCGGGAGCTACAAGGTACCCGAACTCCAGGAAAGCTGCCTGGAGGCAGGGGCCCCGTGGTACTGAACTGGAAATGGGAGATGGGAGACAACCGTCCACCTCATTGTCCTCCTGCTTGGTTTCAGAACAAAAGCGAGCTGCTGCCAACTGTGCGGCTGCTGGAAAGTCTGGGCTACAGCCTCTATGCCAGCCTGGGCACTGCTGACTTCTACACAGAGCACGGCGTCAAGGTACAGCCTGGGCCCCCTGTTTCTGTGTGTGTGTGTGTTTGGTATACACTATGTATTTAGTGTACATTCCACATGAGCAAGTAGGAAAGAAAAGGAAAACAAGGTGGGCATGTAGTCCCTTGGGGTCCCTGTATCCCCATATCCCCGTGTCTTGAGTTCAAATCCCAGCTCCATTTCCACCTCCAAGTGCGCACTCCTGTGCACCCAGGGAGACAGCAGTGATGATGGTCTAGTACTTGAGCCCCTCCCACCTGTGTTAGAGACCCAGCTGGGGGGTTATTTTTCCTTCTGGCATTTTCTCTGTCTGGACTTGGTGTGAGCTCATGGTATTCACTGACCTGGCAGTGACCTGTCTCATCATTGCAGAGTCTTGGTTCTTTTCTGTTGAGGCAATATTCTACCAACAAGTGGAGGCGGCCCCTGGTCCCTTCCTTCCGGGTCCTGAGCGTGCACTCATCGTGGGTTCCCAGCCCTGCTTCCCTCCCTTCACACTGGCCCTCCTGATCCCCGGCAGGTAACAGCTGTGGACTGGCACTTCGAGGAGGCCGTGGACGGGGAGTGCCCCCCACAGCGAAGCATCCTGGAGCAGCTGGCTGAGAACCACTTTGAGCTGGTAATCAACCTGTCCATGCGCGGGGCCGGCGGCCGTCGCCTCTCTTCCTTCGTCACCAAGGGTTACCGCACCCGGCGCCTGGCTGCTGACTTCTCTGTGCCCCTTATCATCGACATCAAATGCACCAAGCTCTTCGTAGAGGTACCTGGTAGCCAGGGGCCGGTGGGTGGGGAGATGTCAGAGCGAGACGGCCTTGCTTAGCTGTCAAGTTTGGTGGGTATAGAGAGGTGGGGAAGCCAAGCCCTACCCAAGGCTTGCTCCCAGGATCACTCTTTACCCAAGGCTTGCTCCCAGGATCACTCTTTCCCTTCATATATTCCTTCCCCTTGCAGGCTCTGGGCCAAATTGGGCCTGCCCCTCCTCTGAAGGTGCACGTGGACTGTATGACCTCCCAGAAACTTGTGCGTCTACCCGGTAAGGGCAGCTTTTGGGAGGGCTGGGGAAGACCTGACTTCTGGACCACTGGCAGCCATTGGCACATCCACCTGCACTGGGAGCCCAGCACTTGCCTGGCTCCCAGCTCTCGTGCCCCTGGGTTCACAGAGCCCTCCACTGGAAAAATTTGCCCCCCTTGCTCGCTTTGGTCACCAGTAACCCCTCTCCCCCATTTCTGATATGCCTCTAACCTCGCCACTGCCACACTTGTTTCTCCCAGGGCTGATCGATGTCCATGTGCACCTGCGCGAGCCAGGGGGGACACACAAGGAGGACTTTGCCTCTGGCACAGCAGCTGCCCTGGCCGGGGGCATCACCATGGTGTGCGCCATGCCAAATACCCGGCCCCCCATCACTGATGCCCCTGCCCTGGCGCTGGCCCAGAAGGTGCACCATCAGGGAACCCCACTGCCCCTACCAACCACCCCAGCCTCCCTTGAGTCTCTCCCTCTACCCCTCGCCCTGGGCCTGGCTGCCAGTGATCCCCATGTGTCTCTTTCTGTTATGCGTGCCCTCTGCAGCTGGCCGAGGCTGGCGCCCGCTGTGACTACTCCCTTTTCCTTGGAGCCTCGTCTGAAAACGCAGGGACCCTGGGTGCCGTGGCTGGGTCGGCCGCAGGGCTGAAGCTCTACCTCAACGAGACTTTCTCTGAGCTGCGGCTGGACAGTGTGGCACAGTGGATGGAGGTGGGCAGCGCCTCCTGGGGATACCAACAGGCAGCGGCCCTGGGGCTCTGTGAGGAGTACAGAGAAGCAGGGGCTCCCTCACCACTTCTCTCTCCACCGTTCCATTGTCCTCCTCCAGCACTTTGAGACATGGCCCGCCCACCTCCCCATTGTGGCCCATGCTGAGCGGCAGAGTGTCGCTGCTGTCCTCATGGTGGCTCAGCTGACCCAGCGTCCCGTGCACATCTGTCACGTGGCGCGCAAGGAGGAGGTGAGTGTGCACCAGAGCTCCTGGCACTTGCATCCCTTTCCCGGTGACATCATAGGCCTTGAGCTGGCCTGGCCCAGGGTTCTCCTGGCGGGGGTCCTGGCCGTGGGCACTGGATGTGACAACGGGGAAGGGGGATAGCTCCAATGGATCCTGGTGCTCTCTCTCCCTCCCACCCAGATCCTGCTCATCAAAGCTGCAAAGGCACGAGGGCTGCCGGTGACCTGTGAGGTGGCGCCCCACCACTTATTCTTGAGCCACGATGACCTGGAACGCCTGGGGCCTGGGAAAGGCGAGGTCCGGCCTGAGCTTGGCTCCCGCCAAGATGTGGAGGCGCTCTGGGAGAACATGGCCGTCATTGACTGCTTTGCCTCTGACCACGGTGAGGGGGCCCAGTGTGCACCTGCTCTGCCCTAGCTCAAGCCATGAGAGCACAACACTGGGTCCTGGGGGGTAGGGTGCTGATCCCCCCAGCCTCTGAGCCAATACCTGTTCCGTGATGGGAGCTTGTTGCTGGAATGGCTGGGCAGAGGAGCACGTGTGAGTGGGAGACTACATAGGCAAGAGGTATACACCCTTGAGCAGGGTCAGCAGCCCACCCACTTCCCTGGAATGTGAGCACGGGGCCTGCTGGTGAGACCAGGAGGTGGCAGAAAGCTCAGCCCTGAGGCAGGTGTGACTTCCTGGTGTGCAGGTGGCTGGCCCCATAGATAACGGCTCTCTTCCCCTTTAGCCCCCCACACCCTGGAGGAGAAGAACGGGCCCAGCCCTCCACCTGGCTTCCCAGGGCTAGAGACCATGCTGCCGCTGCTGCTGACAGCTGTAAGTGAGGGCCGGCTCAGCCTGGATGACCTGCTGCAGCGACTGCACCACAACCCTCGGAGGATCTTCCACCTGCCTCCCCAGGAGGACACCTACGTGGAGGTGTGAGGCGAGGGCCCACAACTGGCAGGCCAGGGGGTGCACAGGGCTCCCTTCCTCTGGTATCTGTGCCCTACCATAACCCATGACCCTCTGGGCAGGTGGATCTGGAGCATGAGTGGACAGTTCCCAGCCACATGCCCTTCTCCAAAGCCCGCTGGACTCCCTTTGAAGGGCAGAAGGTGAAAGGCACCGTGCGCCGGGTGGTCCTGCGAGGGGAGGTGGCCTACATTGATGGGCAGGTACGCACGTGACACTCAACACCCCCAGTTCATGCCACTTTCATGTCTCCCCCTTCTCAGCACCCGTGTGGGTCCCTGCTCCCCACTCACCCACCCCTGCTTCCTGCCTGCAGGTGCTGGTGCCTCCTGGCTATGGGCAGGATGTCCGCAAGTGGCCACAAGGGGTTGTCCCCCAGCTGCAGCCTACAGCCCCTGCCTCCAGCGAGATAACCACGGTACTGACTATGGGACCAGCTATTCCTGGACACTGGACACAGGCCTAGGGTGGTAGAGGGAGACCCAGGGACACAGACTGACAGCTTGTATGTTTTCATTAGTGGTCCTATCTGAGGAGTACTCGTCCGCTACCTCTGTCTGCCATGCCAGGTGGAAGCAGTGGCGATGGGGGGTGGCAACCTCAGAGACACAGGTTCCTTTTCGCTCCCCTGCACATCCCAGCAACAAGCCTGGGGCACTGTCACTGAGCAGTTTTGCCACCTAGTAACAATATTCCAGATAACTGGAGCTACAGGACATGATGGGGGGCAGGCACAGGAAGCTGTGGGGCCGTTCTGAAGGAATGGGAGGGATCAGCTAAGCTAATCTTCTCTCTCTTCCCCCCAACTCACCCCAGACACCAGAGCGGCCCCGGCGGGGCGTCCCAGGCCTTCCTGACAGCCGTTTCCACCTGCCTCCCCGGATCCACAGAGCCTCTGATCCGGGTCTGCCAGGTAAGGGGGGCAGTCTCCATGACTTGGATAGTGGGACTGGTCCTCTTCCAGCTAGTGTGGTGCCCAGGGTGGGCCAGCGTCTGGGTTTACCAAGGCAAATGCCACCTCTCTGCCTGTGACCCTAGTCTTACTGCCATCCCTTCACCCTGGACCCATGCCCTGCTCCCTCCTACTCCCTCCCCTGGCCGAGTCCAGCTGCTCCCAGCTTACGGGCTAAGCTGCTACAGCTTCTCACTGGCCCTTTCTTGTTGTAAGCAGTCTCGTTCCTCCGCCTGGGACCCAGGATCCCACGGGGCAGCCGAACGTGGGGTAAACCCCGGTGGTTGGTGTGAGCCTGGCTGTTTTTGTGCCTCCAGTCCTGTTGCTGCCTGGGAAGGCCCTGGGAGGGCACCGTGTCCCCACACAGCACGGGGCGGGGGGTGTTCCCAGTCTGTCCTTGGAGCCTCTGCCCTCCCTCCTGGCCTGCCCTAACCTGCTATATAACTCCTGAGGCGTGAAGTGAATTAACATGTTCACTGCCGTCCTGTGCTGGGAAGTTAGGGGCTCTTTCTGAACTGCTGCCACAAACCCACCCCTGTCGCTGTTGTCCCCTTCACAGCTGAGGAGCCCAAGGAGAAGTCCTCTCGGAAGGCGACTGAGCCCGGTGAGAGATGCCCCCTCCCCAGTACACACTCAGCTTGGGAACAGCTGCTGTGTGCCCTGGAGTTGGGAAGCCCTCTGATCGGCCTCATCTTCTGCCCCATTCCTCACCACAGAGCTGATGGGAACCCCCGATAGCAGCTGCTACCCTCCACCACCAGTGCCTAGACAGGCATCACCCCAGAACCTGGGGACCCCTGGCCTGCTGCATCCCCAGACCTCACCCCTGCTGCACTCACTGGTGGGCCAGCATATTCTGTCAGTCAAGCAGTTCACCAAGGATCAGGTGCTGGCTGAGGGACGGTGGTGGTGCCTGGAGTTTTGAGGGGCTGGTGGAGTCAGGACCAGGCTTCTGGGGGCCACACTGCCTCCTGCCCCCTGACTTGCAGGTGTGGATCTTTCCTAGATGTCTCACCTATTCAATGTTGCGCACACCCTGAGGATGATGGTGCAGAAAGAGCGGAGCCTGGACATCCTCAAGGTCAGGGTCAGGGCCATGGGGCTGGGGGTCCAGCCATTTCCTGCCATGTGGGCAGAGTGGACCTTCTGCCCTGGCCATCAGGTCCCCCTGAAAATCAATTCTACACTGTCAGCAGCTTGGCCCTCTGTTCTCGAAGCTTCTGTTGCACATGGGAGATCCTGAGTAGCTGCACCATGTGGCTATAGGAGAGGATACAGTGTCCCTTCTCCCAGTTTTTTGTACAATTGTGATGGCTTTGGAGAGGCAGGATCACATCAGGTCCCAGGGAGGCCTGAATGGGGCAGGGTGGTGTGCTGGGGTGGCAGTACCGGCCATGGCCTCCCAAGGCACACACATACTCATTTGGCTCATGCTTGGCGTCTCCCCAGGGGAAGGTCATGGCTTCCATGTTCTATGAGGTGAGCACGCGGACCAGCAGCTCCTTTGCAGCGGCCATGGCCCGGCTAGGGGGCTCAGTGCTCAGCTTCTCTGAGGCCACGTCCTCCGTGCAGAAGGGCGAGTCGCTGGCAGACTCGGTGCAGACCATGAGCTGCTACGCTGATGTTGTGGTGCTTCGGCACCCCCAGCCTGGTGCCGTGGAGGTGAGGCCAACTTGGGTTTCAAGATGGGGGGGGGGGTGCCTCCTACATGAGCCCATCATAGCTGGGCAGAGAGGCTTCTGGGCTGCAGATGGGAGCATCCTCCCTCTCCTGTGCCCACAGCTGGCAGCCAAGCACTGCCGGAGGCCAGTAATCAACGCAGGGGATGGAGTCGGTGAGCACCCCACACAGGCCCTGCTGGACATCTTCACCATTCGGGAGGAGCTGGGCACCGTCAACGGCATGACGGTGAGAGCAGGGCAGGTTCCTGCAGTTGTGGGTCTGCTGCTGGGGGAGGGGAGTGAGGGTGGAAGACAGGACCCTTTCCCTGCCCACCCCACCACCCGCCAGGGCTAGTGCCCTGAGGTGGGTGAAGACTACTCAGTCCCGGGCTCCTCTCCAGATCACCATGGTGGGGGACCTGAAGCACGGGCGCACGGTGCACTCGCTCGCTTGCCTGCTCACCCAGTACCGCGTCAGCCTGTGCTACGTGGCACCTCCCAGCCTACGCATGCCATCCAATGTGTGGGACTTTGTGGCCTCCCGTGGCACCAAGCAGGTAAGATCCTCACAGTGCAGGCCGGAGGCCAGGGAGACAGGTGTGGGCAGGGTCGGGGAGCAGCCAGAGCACATCCCCACATTCATGGCTCTGCCCACCTCCAGGAGGAGTTTGAGAGCATCGAGGAGGCACTGCCTGACACTGATGTGCTCTACATGACCCGGATCCAGAAGGAGCGGTTCGGCTCCACCCAAGAGTATGAATCTGTGAGTACCAGGCCAGCCAGACCCAGAGGGTCAGGAGGCAGGACACGGCTGGGTGGACCCTTTGGCTGCCATGGCACTAACAGGGTTCCCACTGTGCCCTGTAGTGCTTTGGTCAGTTCATCATCACTCCCCACATCATGACCCGAGCCAAGAAGAAGATGGTGGTGATGCACCCCATGCCCCGAGTCAACGAGATCAGGTGACTGGTGGCATCCAGCCCGGAGCACTGGGACTGGTTAGAGGAGGGGCCTGAGCCCAACCTGGCAGCTTCTGAACTGACAATAAGTCCCTCCCATCCTTCTCTTGCAGCGTGGAGGTGGACTCAGACCCCCGGGCTGCCTACTTCCGCCAGGCTGAGAACGGCATGTACATCCGCATGGCTCTGTTGGCCACCGTGCTGGGCCGTTTCTAGGTCCTGGCAAGGAATCCCAGTGCCCCCCACGGGGGCAGCGCACTTAAGAGATGATCTGGGGCGTTGGGATAGCTCATACGCAGAACATGCTGCGGGCTCCAGACTGCCCCTCCCTCCAATGGGGTACACCTCGGATGCTGGGGACCCCACCTGCCCCACCTTCATGGCCTGTACCTGTGCTATGCACTTCCTTTTTCTACTGATTTAATAATAAACAGCTGAGCTGCCTTTGGGTCCTGCTTCTTGCCATGTGCAGTACAACAGCGTTCACTCTGGCAGGAACCAAGGCCAGATTCCCAAGTTAAAAACAGGCACAGTGTCCTGGGGCCAGAGCTGAGCAGGCAGGCCCGTCACATCTCCCAGGACTTGGCAGGAATGCCATAGTGCTATGTGACACATAGGTCACAGCCCTCCTGGGGACTGGTTGGCGTCCAGCCCTTCTCCCTCCGTCAATTAAGCTGCACTCAGAGCCCTGACTGGTGGCGTTGCCTCCTTCCTAGGTGTTCAAGAGCCATGTGGGTCACAGTGAAACGAAGGCTGAGCACCCAGGCCCAGCGTGCAGGTTCTTTAGCCCTAGACCCCCACCCTAACCTCTTTTTCTGCTATCCATTGTATCCTCACAACCTCACCCTGTGGGCACAGTGGGGTAAAGTGCCAGTTGGGACACCTATGTCTCTTAACATAGTTCCAAGGATTGCGTCCTGCCTCTTCATCCAGTCCAGCTTCCTGCTAAAGTGTCTGGAAAGAGCACATGATGACCCACGACTGGGTTCTTGCCACCCATGTGACAGACCCAGATGGAGTTCTGGCTTCCACCTGGCCCAGCTCTGGCTGTTGTGGACACATCAGAGCATGAATCTGTGGATGGAAGATTTCTCTATTCCTTTGCCTTTTAGATAATTTTTTTTTTTTAATAAAGCACCTCGCCCTGGAGTTCTGCTGCCACTGTCCCTGTAGTCCCCTTCTGCTGCCACTATCCCCAGAAGCTCCTGCCTGGCGGGGACTTGGAAGCCTGCTGGCCTGGGGATCCCAGGAAGGGCCTGGAGTGTTAGCCCTGTGACCATGCCTGCCGGCTTCAGCAAGCAGCTCTTTACTCCATGGTCTTCAGCAGCACTGGAACAACTTCGTGTCTTCCTCCAACCAACTTGAACATGGTGCCTACTGGGTACAAAGCACTAGGTGCGAAAGGAGTCTTAAGAACAAGCAAGAATATTCTTATTCTGTATAGCCTCAGGTCAAAAGCTTCCGGTGACATCTGTGGCTTCAGTTGCTTCCTGGTGGTCCATGGTAGTCCACGCTGCTCCAGCCCTGCTGAGCTGGAAGCACTTTTCCCGAGGAGCTGTAGCCATGGCAGGAGAGGGATTGCTCCTTGTGAAAGTCTGGACTAATGAAGTCTGCACACGTGGTTTCACCTCAGGTCAGCCCGACGGCTGTCCGATGAATGAGCTCCTCTCAGAAGTCCAGGCGGCTCCTTAGACACACCCATGCCCCTGCTTGGCATCAAACTCATGTTTCCTAAAAATGCACAAGTAATGGTTATTTCTGGCTTTTAGGGTATCCAAAACCAATGGGAAAGTGTTGCAAAAAGCGAGGTCTTCTATCTACTGACTTACTCCCCAAATGGGTGCAATAGCCAGGGCTGGGCCAGACAGGAACCTGGAGCTTCCTCCCTGTCCCCTGTTTGGGTGTAGGGGCCCACGGCGTTGGGCCATCCTCAGCTGCCTTCCCAAGTTTATTAGCAGGGAGCTGGGTTGGAAATGGAACAGCAGGGACACGAACCATGAACTAGCAGCATCCATTAAGGATGCAGGCATCAGGTGGCAGCAGCATCACTCCTTAAACCACAATGCAGGACCCTCCCACTCTTATTCAGGTTGGCTGTCAGACCCCAGGGTCTGGATAGAGTCTAAAGAAATGTTCGTTTATCACTACTGGCACTGCATGGAGAGGGTGGGGCTCCTCCAGGAACGTGATCCCCTTGTGGGCTGTTAACCCTGAGCCCAGCTAGTCTCATCTCCCAGACTGGAGGGCCTGCGTGGGTTGAAACTAGATAGGCATTTACAGAGCGCTTCTCTCCAGAGCTGTGGATTCCCTGCCTGCACTCCGGGAACGTGTCGGGGATTATTTTCCCAAGTGCGTACTTGGGTGTCTGTCACACACAGATGCCCACAGGACTCAGCCTCATCCCCCAGTGCCGCACGCAGTGGTGGCTGCCAGCAGCCAAGCGTTCTCGCCTGCAAAGTGGTGGGAGGTGTTCCTGCCCTGATCCTTTCTCTGGCGCGCCTCATCACAACATAGCACCAAGTTGAATCAACTTTCCCCTACAACCAGAAATTAGATTATTACGTGGGGGAATAAAATGAAGCGGGGCAGCCATTTGGCTCAGCGATTAAGTCACTGCTCAGGATGCCCATATCCCATAGCAGAGCGTTTGGGGTCCAATCTTGGCTCTGCTACCAATTCCAGCTTCCTGCTGATGGATGGCCCGGGAGGCAGCAGGTGATGGCTCAAGTGACTTGGGCTCCTATCATGCACATGGGAAACCCGGATTAAATTCAGCTTGGCTCTGCTCTGGCTGTTGCTTGTGGGAACATGAGTGCAAGATGGCCCTGTGTACATGAAGGAAACGAAGAATCTCCCAGTTGCTGGCTTCAGCCTGGCCACAACCAGTCATGGAATTTCTGGAATGAACAGTGGATGCAAGGCAAGGCACTCAATCCCTGCCATCTAAAAAGCAACCCCCTCTTTTTGAAGAAGAAGAATTATTTTAATTTTTATTATAAAGTCAGATATACAGAGAGAGGGAGAAACAGAAGATCTTCCATCTGTTGATTTATTCTCCAAGTGACTGCAACAGCCAGAGCTGTGCCAGTCTGAAGCCAGGAGCCAGGAGCTTATTCCGGGTCTCCCACACAGGTGCAGAATCCCAAGACCTTGGGCTGTCCTGATTGCTTTCCCAGACCGCAAGCAGGGAGCTGGATGGGAAATGAAGCCGCCAGCATTAGAACTGGTGCCCACATGGGATCTACACGCATTCAAGGTGAGGACTTTAGTCGCTAGACTATCATGCTGGGCCCTGAAAATCCTTTTAGTAAGACAAAATACCAGCATCTGAGCCTGTTCCACAAGCACTGAGAACTTCCTGCGTTCTGTGTGATGGTGGTTAAGTATAAAAAGTGAGTTTTCTGAGGCCAGCATGATGGCTCAATGGCTAATCCTCCCCTTATAAGCACCAGAATTCCATATGTGCACCAGTTCCTGTCCCAGCTGCTCCACTTCCCATCCAGCTCCCTGCTTGAGTTTTCTGATCTCCTTTTCTCCTAACAGTGGCAAGAGATTTGATCTTTTTTTTTTTTAAGGATTTATTTATTTTTATTGGAAAGACAAATTTACAGAGAGGAGAGACAGAGAGAAAGATCTTGCATCCACTGGTTCACTCCCCAAGTCTGCAATGACCGGGACTGATCTGATTTGAAGCCAGGGTCCAGGAGTTTCTTCTGGATCTCCCACATAGGTACAAGGTCCCAAGGACTTGGACTGTCCTCCACTGTTTTCCCAGGTCACAAGCAAGGAGCTGGATGGGAAGTAGAGCAACCAGGACATGCACTGGTACCCACCCATATGGGATTCCAGCTCTTGAAAATGGAGCATTAGGGTCCAGCATGATGACCTAACAGCCAAAGTCCTCACCTTGAACGTGCCAGGATCCCATATGGGTGCTGGTTTTAATCCCGGCAGCTTTGCTTCCCATCCAGCTCCCTTCTTGTGGCCTGGGAAAGCAGTTGAGAACAGCCCAAAGCCTTGGGACCTGCACCCACATGGAGACTTGGAAGAAGTTCCTGGTTCTTGGCTTCGGATTGGCATAGCTCCAGCCTTTGCAGTCACTTGGGGAGTGAATCCACGGATGGAATATATTCCTCTCTGTCTCTCCTCTTCTCTGTATATCTGATTTTGCAATAAAAATAAGTAAATCTTTTTTAAAAAGAAAGAAAGTGGAGGATTAGCCAGTTGAGTCATTGCATTGGCCTCCATCCCTTGATCTATTTCTTTAAGGGGAAAAAAAAAGCAGCAGCTCAAGTATGTGCCAAGCACTGTTCCAAGCACTTGGCAAATAGTAGCATTCTTTCTCACATTATTTTTATATGAACCTTTTTTTTTTTAAGATTTATTTTTATTTGACAGGGAGAGTCACACAGAGAAGAGAGACAGAGAGCTCCTCCATCTGCTGGTTCACTTCCAAAGTGGCCTCCATGGCTGGAGCTGAGCTGATCCAGAGCTGGGAGCTTCTTTCAGATCTCCCATGTAAGTACCGGAACCCAAGGACCTGAGTTATCCTCCGCTGCTTTCCCTGGCCACAGGTAGGAAGCTGGATTGAAAGTGCAGGTGCCAGGACACAAACCAGCACCCATGTGGGATACCAACGCTGCAGGCAGAGGCTTAGCCTACTATGTCATGGTGCTGGCCCGAACCTTTATTTCAATTCTACTTCCCCTTCCGCCTACACACTTTACATGAAAGAGGTCACATGGCATTGCTGAGCGTCACTGTAAAACTATTTACCCCCATCCCTTCACCGTCTTCCCCTTTCCCTCAAAATACACAGTCCCCTTAGAATCTGGCCACCTGAGCTCTACTCCTGCCTGTGATCATTAACTGGCTACAGCCAGCTCGCTGAACCACTGCTAACAAGTGTACCCACGAACAGGAAATCAAAGCTTGTTTGTTCCTGTTCATTCCCTGAGAGAATGGAAGTGAGAGCAGGGTGACGCACATTAGGGAGGGTAGGGTTGGAGGTTCCCAGTGTTAAAGTGACAGGTGCCTGTAATTCTGTGACAATGTCCTAGACAGTGGGAGGACATAAGCTTGAGAGGTGTGGGTGAGCCAGGGCTTGGGGACGAGCATCCGGTTGGGAGGCCAGGAAGATGGGGAGGAGTGTTCCAGCACCTGGGAAGCCAGCTGGGGCTGCAGCAGTGGATGCGGCTCTGGCTGAGGAGGCTTTGCATTGAAAGAGAGGAACGGATGTGACCCGATACCAAGGCTGAGTCAGGGCGTGAGGAGAACGAAGGCTGAGGAAGGTAAACCAGAGGCTAGGGGATGATGGATTTGGTTTGCTGTGATTCTTAGCAGGTGCTGTGAGCCACCATTACAAAGGTGTCACGGGAGTAGGGTATTGCAGCAAGGTAGCTACTGTTGTAGCAATTTTCCAGGGTGGCATCCTCCCCCAGAAGCCTCAGATGCCAACCACACTACCAGTTACATCAGCCTCTCAGAGGCTGGCTTCTGGGCCCATTGAAGGGCACCAGGGACAAGGAGGGTATTTCTGGGTTTTGTACTGACCCGACAGTTAAGGGCAGGCAACCAGGCCCACGTCCATCTGCCCAAGGTCCTTCTGTCCAATCCAAACCAGCAAACTGTTCAATACCAGCTGGTGAGCTTGGCTTGGGGCAGTCACAGAGGCAAGAAGTACGCCCTCATAGGGCAGGCTCCCCCAACCCCTGTACCTCCCAGAAGTCCTGGGGGGCAGGCCACGCCCAGCAGGTTGGGGGACGGGGTGGAGTGTGCAGACTTGGTGGTCTGGGACACAGAGTCCCTGCTGTGCTGGAGCTGTCTGTTCAAGTATCTTTTCTTGTCTTTCCTGCTCTCTGGGTTTGGTTCCCTTGTGGTTCTTCCCTACGTTTTTTTACAATCTTTGTAAGGCTGACAGTCCACAACTTTTGGGCCAAAAGGAACTGGAGGATGCAGTGGAACACCTTGGGATGATACAGCCGGAGTGTAGGTTGCCTGGGAGGGGAGCACTAGTGGGCACACAGGCAGGGGCAGTGGGAGGCTGGAAGAGGAAGTAGCGTTTAATAGGCATGGGCCCTGGCAAGCAGAGACCCAGAGACCCAGAGACCCTCCTCCCTGCCCACTGTGCCCACGTACCTCCCCTCACCATCCTGACAGCAGGACCCCCATATGTTGAGGGGTCCTGATCATAGCTGGGGCACGGGAACTGCTCAGCTGCAAGGAGGTACTACTGACAGACCTGGGGCATTCGGGCCAGGGAGTTGGGGGCCCTGTGAGCTTCCAGATTGGAGGTAAAGAGTCCTTCAGTTACAGAGACCCTAAGTACAGTTTTCCACAGCAGGGGTAGGGGAGGATCTGCTGGGAAAGGGAAGTTGGGTCTTTCCCTGGGGGCAGACCTGCTGCAGCTGCTACCACAGCCCAGGCCTCAGGAGGGCGCTGCTGGTCCTCGGAGAACAGAACACCCTTGGTACCTCCGTCTGTGGGACCAATCCAGCAGGGGCAGGATTCAGAAGCTGCATGAGCCGCGTTGACTTCCAGGGGAGGGAGTTGGGCTGGCCAGCTGCTCCTCTGCCCCACCAGGTTCATCACCTTCGCCTCTGGCACTGGGTGCTGCCCCACCACAAGCTGTGAGGAGGGCAGGACCCCGTGTCCCATCTCCCGCAGCAGGGCCTGCAATCCACACCCTCCTATCGCTCCCGGCTTTTCCTACTGGCCCTGGGGCTCCGGTGTCTCTTTGAACACTCCCTCAGCCGCACTGCGTTTGCAGCCCTAACACTCTGTCTTCTCCTCCGTCCCTTGTCACAGTCTCCCCAATTCATCAGCGGTGGAAAGAGTGGAAAAGCCCAGGTGAAGAGTGAGTGGGCCCTTCCCTCCCTGCCCCTCTCCTCCCTCCTGCTGGCTTTGTCCCCTCCCCTTCGCTGGCTGGTCCCACCCCCATCCCTGCCCCCAACCAGCTCTGCTCTGTCTGGACCAGCATGGAGGCGCTGGGTAGCAGCACTGGGACACATGCTGCTGAGCAGATAAGGAACGTCCAGGCTCCCGTGGGACGGTACTCCTGCTCCTCGTGCCCGTCCTGTCCCTGCCACACGGAGTGGTGTCTGAGGTAGGCAGAGAAGACCAGCAGTAAGGGACAGGGGCCTGGCGCTTCCTATGGACAGCATCCAGGGACTGCCACCCCATGTGACAGGGGTCCTGTTTTCCACCTGGAAGAAGCCCTTGTATCATTGCCTCATAACCCCCTGCCTCAAGTGTGGGTTCACTAAGTGCTGGTCCCTGTCCTGCAGAGTGCTGGGCTCCCTGTTTCCCTGAAATGTCTCCCCAACATCCTGGACTTCAGCCCAAAGCCACCTCTAGAAACCACGTACAGTCGCTCCCGTCATGTCATGAAACACCTGCTTTACCTTAAGAAAGCTGGAATGCACAGAGGTGAGCTAAGACCACAGTATTATTAGTGCAAGGCAAAGCAAGAACCAAGTGGTTGACCAGAACCCCCAGGACTGAGTACCGGTGCAGCAGGTGCTGGGGAGAAGCTGAGTTCAGCTTTATTGTGACACGCACACGGACAAGAGCTTCCAAGTGTCGAAGCGCCATAGTGTAGCTAGCTAATCATCTGCCTGCAGTGCCAGCATCCCGTGTAGATGCTAGTTGGAATCCCTCATGCTCCACTTCCACCCAGCCCTCTGCTAATGCACTTGGGAAAGCAGCAGAGGATGGACCACGTGCATGAACCCCTGCACCCACCGATGAAGCGTCTGACTTCAGACTGGCCCAGGGCCACCCACTGTGGGCATTTGGGGAGTGAATGAGCATATGGAAAATCTTCCTCTCCTTCTCTGTAACTGTCTGAAATACATACATACATACATACATAAATGCATAAATTAATCTTATATATATATATTTTTTAAAAGGCCCTGAGGTGGGTGAGCGCTGGGCTCTGCCCGGATTCATCACTCCCTGGATGACTTAAGTCCCTTTTCCTCTCTGCAAGGCTGGTGGTCAATAGACTGAACGCACGCTGAGGCCTCTTTCTCTTATGAGCATATAGGACAGAGCCATAGCTAACGCTGTCCATGGGGCATCCATCACCACCCTCCTCACCCTCCTTTCCCTTCCTCCACTCCTCACTCTACCCTACCCCCACCCTGCCTCTGGGGGCCTGTAATCAATGAGACGGAAAATGAGAAAGTGTCAGGAACTAGCAAAGCGTGGCAAGCAGCTGGGGCGTCTTGGCCTGCCGCGGGCCTGACTGCACGGACCCCCAGCCTTCACTGCAGCCAGCCCAACTGGGCTCAGCAGGCTGCCCTGGCCGAGCTGGACAGCTAAGAGGGCTGAGTGACAAGGAGTCCAAAAGCCTGGACAGTCTCTGCGTACCTGCCTGGCAAGGTTTGGTCAGAGGGCATGGCTGAGGCATAAAAACAGATGACAACACCTCACTGATGAAATGATCTTATCACGTTACTGTGCCGAGGTGGTGGGCTGTGCACAGAGCTATGGGGGGCAGACATCACCCCCTGTGGTTAGCAGGTGACAGGGGAAGCATTTGCTTACTGCTTCATGCACGTTTCCCTTTTTGGACCCTTAAAACAAGCAAACAATGTTATAACAAAGACATTTCTATCACAGGAGAGGGAAGGTGCACAGAAATGAACATGGACTCATGAGTGAATGACGGCAATTCGGGCTGGAAGATGGGGGAAGAGGAAGGATGGAGGAGGTGTGGCAGGGGGGAGGGTCAGTTAACTGGTGCTGTTCCAGAGCACTGAGTCTGAATCCCAAGCACAAAGGGCTGGTGGCCTTTAAAAGTGAAAACACTCAATTCCTGAATGAGAATGTGGTTCTGAAGACACAGGGAGGCCGAAGTGTCACAGAGGCATGCATGCCTGCGGAACCCACCCGCTGGCACCACACTGCTGGAAGATCAAGTCCACATGGGCACTGGGATGTGACCACTCTTCCCCCAGAGGGACCCAGCTCCGACCCCACCCCACCCCAGCCATGCCAAGGGCACCCTGACCTGCTGGAGCCTGTAGCAAGAGCAACTTTCAAAGATACCCAGCTCCTGATCTCCCAAGTCTCTCCTGGAACCAAGTCCAGGGCACAGGGGGACTCCTGGAGTTCAGGACTGGGTTTCGCTCCTGCTGGGCAGCTGAGAAGGGAAGGGGACCCAGTGGGTTTTAGCCTGCACCCTGATGTGGACAGCTGAGGGCAAGGAGTCATTCCGGCGCAGGTCATCTGTTGGCTGCCAAACGACACACTGGCTTTTCCCCTTGCATGGCAGAGTGGGGGAACCCAGGAAGGCTGTAGTACATAGTGAGACACAAGTTTATTGGTGGAGCTTCAGCAGAGCCTCCCCTCTCTGGGACGGCTGAGGACACAGCACCGACAGAGGGATGGACACACAGAGCCCCCCAAAGGGCCACGTGGACAGAGCACACTCATTGAGACCAGAGCATAGCCAAAGAGGCACGGAAACACAGGCCACAGCACCAAAAAACACACACAGACACAGAGACAAAAAACCACAGGCTTGAACATGGGAACAAAGTGCGGGTTTGGGGGCCCCTGCATAGACAGAGCGAGGGCCATGTGGGGAGGGGGCCCCTGCTGGCCTCCCCTAGGCATAGGCACACAGACAGCACACACACACACACAGGCAGATGCCCCAGCCATCCGGCCAGCCTGCCACGCAGACAGACACACTACACATCTAGCTCATGGCTCCCCACGCCAGGGCAGGGTGGGGATGGGGACCACAGGCCTTCCACACTTCTCCACCCTCCTGCACTACTCCTGGCTGCACAGCCTGGCCCCACAGTGCTCACACACACACACATACACACACACACTTTGGTCTTGCCCGCTGGGGCCTAGGGCTGGGGGGGCTTGGCAGGTGGAAGGAGGGCGGAGAGGAAGGGGTATGGGCCCAGCTCAACCCCTTTCTCCATAATCAGGAAGTGCTGAGAGTCCAGGGGTTGGGGGTGGGGCCGAGTCTGGGCCTGGCAGTGGGGGGTGGGGACAAGGGCGGGGCCATGGCTCAGGCTTGGGGGGGCTCCCGGCACCGCAGGCAGTGGGCCATCTCGGGCCGGTACTGCTCCACCTGCAGGGTGCAGCTGGAGAAGCCAAACCGGGAGTGCAGCCTGGACGAAGCTTCAGCCAGGACGGCTTCGGGGTCAGCGGCTGAGTCTGTGGGGGAGTGATAAGAGGCAGCATGGGTCCCCTGGGGGGAGTTGGGGAGTCAGAAACAGGCAGCAGTCAAGATAAGGACTGACAAGAGAAGGGGCCAGTGCGTGGGGCTGCCCAGGCATGAATGGGGAGCTTGCTTTCCTTTCTGTATTGTAGGAGGAACAGCACAAATTGTCAAGTGAGGGGACACTCCCCCTCCCACCCTGCCCCGAGCCAGGCTAGCTAACACAGGAAACTGTGCTGCTCTTTTTGCCTGCCTGCTGTGTTCCTATTCAGCTAAAGGTGTCAGCAGCCATCCTTTTGCCTGCTCGGGACAATCCAGATGTTACATATTCTGTCCCATTGTCCCCCCTCTGGAGTTACCAGCAAATATCTCCCAGATTATATTTTTGGCATCCAAACTGTATGCCTCTGATTGCTTCTTGCATCTGGAAGAAACTCAAAAACCCTTTGTCAGCTCATGAGTCACCACGTGTATTTTAACAGTGGCATCGTAATGTGGGTATCATTTTAGATTTGGCTTTCTTCTTTTCCTCCCGGCCTTATACCACAAACAGTTTTCCTAGTTGCAATACAGCCTTCATAATCACCATTTTCCCACAGTCAGGCAGTTCCCGCCAAACTGAGGGGCCGTAATTCACCTCATGGCACCCCATCACCAGGCCTGTGGGGATGGAGGGTTCTCAAAGGGTTGCTGGCTCCTGTACTACCTGTACTACCTCAGAGAGGGGGAACTCCCTGCACCCAAGAACATAGTATCCAGGCCTCCTGGCCTATAACCTGTGTGTGTGTGTGTGTGTGTGTGTGTGTGTGTGTGTGTGTGTGTGTGAGACACAAACAGAAAGACAGAGAAGGACCAAAGTAATCCTACTAAGCCAAGCTACTGTCCCATGTTGTGGTGGAGTGGGGTCCCTGTGAACTCACCGATGGCCAGGTGTGCTGAGGCAACATGGTGAGTGAGCGTCAGGGCCCACAGGTGCAGTTCATGGGTGGCCCGGACTCCTGGCACGGACAGCAGCGTATCCCGCACAGGTTCAAACCCTATGCTACGGGGAGTACCTGCAAGCAGCGGCCCCAGGTCTTATCACCAGAGTCCCACTTCCCCAGGCAGCCCTGCCCCCAGGGATAGCCCTGCCCCAGACTCCCCACCCTTGTCTGTGCCCACTCACTGTAACCCTTCCCATCCCCGTCCACCCATAGCCTTCCTCCAGCAACAAAACCATGCGCTCACTTTCTAGTGAGACTTGAGGGTGGTGGTCTGGAGCCAGAGTGAGGTCAAGAGGCCCTGGGGTGGGGAACCATGGCCTTGGACTCACCTTCCATGAGGATGCGGAGAACATCTCGGAGGGTGGGTGCCGTGGAGCCGAGAGCACAGATGGAGAAGAGAAAGGTGCTGATGGGGTCAGCTACCTTGTACTGAGGCTGCAGGAGAGAGCAGGAGCCTTAAACTCAGGAAGCAGGGATCTGCAGTGGAAAACCTGGGGGTGTCCCGGACACAGAGACAAAGGCTAAAGGTAGAGGGAGGGAGGGGAGGTGGCAGTTGCAGGCAGGCAACCTGGAGCAGGTCTCAGACAGGCAGTACCTTGAAGTAGATGAGGATGGAGGCAGCCAGTACCCCCAGACTCTGCAGCAGATCTCCCAGCACATGCACGAAAGCTGCTCGCACACTGGTGTTCCCCAAGGGGAGTGGCTGCCCCTGCTCTTCCTCCAGGGGTGCATACTCCGGCCCACGGGACCCATGGCTGTGCGGGGGGCCAGCCTGGTGCAACACGAAGGCCATTCTGCAGAAGAGGAGCAGAACAGCTGGGTATGGGCAGCCAGCTCCTGGGCTCTTCTGCCCTCCCTGGTAGCCCTTCCTCCACCTATTTCCCCCAGGCACAGGGAGAAAGAAGCTGGTCCAAGAGAGGCAAACAGTGCAGCCCGGAAGAAAGAAGACTGGTTTTGGTGCCAGCGCCACGGGGTCAGATCAGGAGCTGTGTGGCTCAGGTCAGGCAAGTCACCTGGTGTCCTAGCAGAGGCCACGTCATTGACAGAAAGCCAGGGGTAACACAGTCTCCCTCCTGGGGTGGGAGTGAGAGATCACTGAGGAGCAGCCCTCGTCTAAGTGGCTGGTACTCAGGGGGCTCCCTGCAAATATTGGAAAGCAGGGTCTAGACTCCCAGCAGGGGGTCTGCATCTGTCTGGGAGGAAGGGCAGCTTGCCACCCTGTAGGGAAGAGCCCTGGCCTGGAGCCCCAAGTGTTGGGCAGTAGCTTCATCCAGCACGTACAGTAGATTGGCACAAACCGCGATGCTGGCTGTCAGCAGCATGGCGCCCCCCTCGATGTGGTAATCGCTGTGCAGCAGGCGGACGAAAGCCAGGTACAGGAGGATGCCAGTGACTATCCAGAGGGACACCACGGAGGCCAGGGCGCCCAGAGTCTCTGCGGGTGGGGGTGGAGGAGCTGTAAGAGAGCTGCTCAGGATCTGGGGAGCAGACCCTTGGCATGACGGAGACAGGAGGAGTCAGCAGCTCGTGCAGGTGCCTTACCCGAGCGGTGCCAGCCAAAGGTCATGGTGCGGGTGGCTGGACGGGTGGAGAGCCAGAGGGAGAAGAGACTGCCCATCATGCTGCCCACGTCTGCCAGCAGGTGGGCCGCATCGGTCATGATGGCCAGGCTGTGTGCCAAATAGCCACCTGCAAGAGGGCCACAGTGCATAGCATGGCACGGGCAGGGACGAGAACCAGCAGACAGATACACAAAGGGGAACAGGCCACTCTCAGGCGATGGGCCATATTTCACTCAGCCATATTGTTTAGTTTGCCTATAATGACATGCTTAATTTTACTAACCAGAAAATAGCATTTTTTTAAAGATTTATTTTTATTATTTTTTTATTGGAAAGGCGGATATACAGAGAGGAGAGACAGAGAGGAAGATCTTCCGTCCGATGACTCACTCCCCAAGTGAGCGCAACGGCCGATTCTATGCTGATCCGAAGCCAGGAGCCTCTTCTGGGTCTCCCACGCAGGTGCAGGGTCCCAAAGCTTTGGGCCATCCTCGACTGCTTTCCTGGGCCACAGGCAGGGAGCTGGAAGGGAAGTGGGGCTTCCAGGATAGAACCGGCGCCCATATGGGATCCCGGGTGTGCAAGGCGAGGACCTTAACCACTTGCGCCACCGCGCTGGGCCCAGAAAATGGCATTTTTAAAAGACCAGTTGGGGCCAGCCTAGCCACATAGCAAGTGAATCCTCTACTTATGGCACTGGGATCCCATATAAGGCACTGGTTCAAGTCCCGACTACTCCACTTCTCATTCAGTTTCCTGCCTGTAGCCTGGGAAAGCAGTGGAGGACACCCCAAAGCCTTGGGACCCTACATCCATGTGGAGACCCGGAAGAAGCTCCTGGCTCCTGGCTTCAGGTTGGCTCAGCTCCAGCCATTGCAGCCACTTGGGGAGTGACGCAGCAGACAGAAGATCTTTCTGTTTTTCCCTTTCTTTCTTTGTAGTTCTTTCAAGTTAAATAAACAAATCTTCAAGAAATTAATAAATAAAGACCAGTTAATAGGGGCTGGCACTAACACATAGCAAATAAAGATGACACTTGCAGCATCTGTATCCCACATGGGTACCAGTTCCAGCTCTGCTAGCTCCACTTTGATCTAGCTCTCTGCCAATGAGCCTGTGAAAAAAGCAGATGATGGCCTAAATGCTTGGACCCCTGCACCCACACGGGAGACCCGGAAGGGCCTGGCTCCTGGCTTCAGCCATCTGGAGAAATGAACCAACATAGGGAAGATCTTTTGGTCTTTCCCCCTTTCCCCTCTGCCTTTGAAATTAATTTAAATAGATAGATACAAGATCAGCTAACAGCGAGATATCAGCTCTGGCACAGGCCTTTGTGTGCCATCCCTCACTGCATGAGGCCTAGACCCGCAGCATCTACCCAGGAACGCCTGAGGGGCTGATGCAGGCACCAGGAGGGCAGGGCTGACTTACCAACCACCTCGCCAGCCATGAAGACAAAGCACACAGCACAGGCAGCATACAGCTGCCTCCGCGCCTGCAGCCTCTCTGAGGTAAGGCCCGGTGGTGGCCCCAGGTCCCTGTGGCAGTGGTGGAAGGCCATCTCCTCAGACTTGGACTCCTCAGGGAGGGACTCAGAGGGCTCTGTGAAGAGACTGGGGCAGGCAGCTTGGCTCAGCTTGGAGGCACCTGGTCCCCAGGCTGGCCTGCTCACTCCCCGAGACTCAGTTCCCCCCCGGGGGCTGGCCTCAGCACCACATAGTCACTCTTGCATCCTTCCCAAGACCTAGTTCCTCATGGGAGCTGACAGAGGTCCTACACGGGACGTTGGGGGCAGCTTCCCCTACTCCTTCCACACACAGCGCCAGAGCACCTCACAGCTGGAAAGTATGTCAGAGCTGGGCCAGCCAGACATTCAATGGAGGAGGAGTGTGAGTCTGCGAGAGAGGGAGAACCGAGGGAGCCCGCGGGCTAGCTGTAACGCCACCTGGAGAATCCCACCACAAGTACCACTGCAGCCACACGCTAAGCAGCACATCCTCTCCGAGGAGAGGAGCTCTGGGAGAGCAAGACAAATGTGTGCCCCCATCCTCTGACGTAGGGCCGAGGGTGGCCATGGCCATCGGGGCAGTGCTGGGGCTCCCAGGGCTCGGTGCTGCATTCCATCAAGGATGGCAGGGATCAGAGTGGACAAGGGACCAGGAGAAGGAGGTTGAGGAACCTGAAGGACTTCGGTAAAAAGCAGGTGGATGTGCCAGATGCAGTGCCAAGGGCAGGTGCTGAGGAAAGCACATGAAGCTTGGCACATGACCTGGGCCTTGGTGAGCGTCTGCTCAAGGCTCCCTTCCTCTCTAGACATGTGGCCCTGTGGCTGCGAGTAAAATAGTAGAACCCAGGACAGCTAAGATTCCTGGCATAGAGAACTGGTCAGATTCCAGCACTGGAGTTGTCATGGGGAACGGGAGATGGAGGTGCAGACTCCTAGCTGGGGATGACAGTGGGAGGAACACTGGGCTTGGAGTCCAGTTCGACCTCAGTCTGACCATAAGTACCAGCAGCCACTACCTCAACTGCCTGCTACTCTAAGCCTCTCCTGATGAATGAAAGGGACTGGAGCCTCACCTGGGGGAGCCCGAGGCTGAGCTCCTGCTGCCTGAGTTTGTTTTAAGTCCATTCTAGCCCAATTCTCACCCTCACAACTGTCTAACTGGAGCCCCAGCAAAGACAGGCTCTTCCGCAGAACAAAGGGCCCACATAGAACACATAGCTTGAAATATTCCTGGGGGTGTGACAAGAATGCCCAAGGGTTGAAAGCGATGGCTTGGGGGAGCCATGGGAGTGCCATGGCACAGTGAGGATGCGTGCACGGGGCCCTTTGGCTGAAGAAAGCTGCCAGCCAGGTGAACTGCCAGCCAGGTGAACAGGAGATTTGAGGGAGGAATGGGTAGGGAAAACGTAAGTGCTGGTAGGTGGGTTCATTTCTTGAATTTCAACACCCCTCCCAACACCTGCCCCCCATTCCAGGATTTAGAATTGGGCATGTATCATTCCAGATGTGCTTCCGGAGGAGCTGGACCATGAGCCCGCCTTGCTCTTCTAATGAGGCATGGCAGCAGTGCATACACAATGCAGCCTGCTCCGTGGGGGAAGACAGAGGTGCGACCAACAATGGCCTACCAGGGGGAGGCTGACGCAGGGGCAGCTCTGAACAAAGGACTTCGGGGCACAGGGCCCATACTGACCAACTCTAATGGGAACAGGAGAACTTGACAGAGAAGATATATGCACAGATGAGGCCATGCTCGGACCCAGCAAAACAGCAGCCAGCAGGTTTGCAGCCGTGGGTTTCCGTGTGAGGCTGAGAGGGAAAGACTGAGGAGCAGAGGAAATGATGTGGCTCCAAGGGACACAAAGGCAGACACTGGGATGAATTCAACACCCAGCTCGCCAGCCCTCGGATGACCTTGCTATGGTAGCAGAGCTGAGAGGAGATGCAGGGTCCCAGGCCAGAGGCTCTCTGCAGACAGCTTCAGTGGAGGGGCAGGGTGTCAGGGAGAGGCTCTTCCAGAAAATGCTGCAGGATGGAGTGACTAATGGTCATATGAGAACGGACACGGACTGGGTGGGGGTGGGGGGGACCCAGGATGTGGGGCTCCTGAACAAGCAGGCTGGGTGACTTCAGGTGGGAAACGGGCAAGATGCCGGCTCTGGTCCCACGGAAGCAGCCCAGCCAGGCACTCAGGTAGCCACCCATCAACAGGCTGCCCCTTTCCTCTGCATAAATGGGGCACACCGGAGAAGGCTTGGAGGCGGTGGTGGCGGTGGTGGTGGTGGTGGTGGTGGTATGTGGGTGTATGGTGGTGGGGGTGGCATTCTGTTTAGAGAGCAGGAAAGGCAGCCTCCTCTGTCTCTGGCCTTTGAGGCCCTCCCAGAAAATAAACAATACCCGGTGAGGGGAGAGGGGTGAAGTGGGAAGCGGAGAAGCCAATGGATGGATAAAGGGAAGAGACCTGGGGCCCGGGTGCGCCAGTCCCGGCAGCTGCCCACCTCTGCAGTCCCCTGCGGGAAGCACAGTTCCCTCCCTCGTCCAGCTCTTTCCACTTCCCCCTCACCCCAGCCCCTGGTTTAAGGCCCCCACCCACCTACAGGACGAAATCCACGCACAAGCACCGTGTCAGAGACAAAGGGACAGGGGCGGCGAGACAAACGGGAAGATTGAGAGAGACGGGAAAGAGAACAAGCTGGAGAACCTGCCAAATCCGGAAGACACACAGAAGGTCGGCCCACAGACAAAATGGCCAGTGGAAGTGGCCCCCGGCGGGTTTGTGGCGGGCGGCACCCCGCACGGCAGCTCCGAGGGGCAGGGCGGCTGGCCCGGTGCGCGGGCGGTTCTGCGGCCGCCCCCGGCCCGCTGTCCCTGCCGCTCGCGCCTCATTTCACACCTCGCCGCCCCCGGCCCCGTCTGTGCGAAGCCGGGAATACCCCCCGCCGCCCAGATCGCACCTGCTCCTTCCCCGCCGCCCCCAAGCCTCTGTGCCGCCACCGCCTCCCGGGCGCCCGCAGGACCCGCGACCGAACCGGGCCCTCCCTCCGGGCCGCAGGTGCCCACGGCTGACTGCAGCTGGAAGGGGCGCCCAGAGCCCCGGCGCGTGCTGCGAAGGGTCCCGGGGCCTCGGCGGCAAGATGCGCCCGCGCCAGGACCGGGCAATGCGGACATCGGGGCAGCCGGCGCGGGCTCCGGTCCGACGGAGTGATAGTCGTTCCCCGTGAGTCCGAGGGCAGAAAGGGATCAGGCCAGGGGTCGGGACCCAGTGCTCCCGTTGGCCGGAGGAGACAGAGTCCCCGCGGCGGGGAGCCAGGGGAGTCGAGGAGCGCCCGGGCGGCCAGCGGGGTCCCGCACCAGGGGGAGACAACGAAACAGGCGGATGCGAGGGTGGCGCCCGGGGCTGCCCTACCTCTTCAGGCGTAGGCCGCCGCCCGCGCCGCCACGCTCCCGCGAGCTCACCAGGCGAGTGGTCTCCGAGCCCCCCGCCGCCGGAGAGGGCTCCATGTCCCCACCGCTGCCGCGACCGTCCGGGCCCCGCCGAGGGCGTCTCTGGCGGGGCTGGCCCCGCGCCCTGTCTCAGCGGCCCGCCGCCCCGGTACTCCCCGCAGGGCCGCGGGGCCACCCGAGTGGAGGGAACTGCGGCGGCGAGTGGGGCGCGCGGATTCCGAACCGCAGGTCCCGCGGCCGCCCGAGCCCCGCCCCGCGTGGGGCGAGCTCCCCAGGCCCCGCCCCCAGCCCCCCCGCCCGGGCCCCGCCCCCGGGCCCAAGCCCCATTTCCCAGAGCGGGGAGGGAGAGCGCCCCTCCGGCGGGGGTTCGAGCCCCGCTCCGAGCCCCGCCCATCCCAGACCCCTTCCCCGGCCTACCACCCTAACCCTCCCTGGTGCAAAGCGGGACTCCTCCAGGCTGGGGCCGTCCCTCCCTCTCTCCAGCCGTGATCCGAGGAACGCCCACTTCTGCACACCCGCGCGGGGGCGTCGCCCCGCTACCCAAGCCCCTCTCAGCCTCCAAGCGGAGGCAGAAGCAGGTGCGGGCCCTCGACCTCACGACAAAACCAGAAAGAGTATGGCCACGAGCGGCGACACGTCCTGGAGGCCTCTGTCGAGTCTGGGGTAGGAATTCACCAGCAAAGTCGCCTGCCAAGCGCTGTGCCGCCAATGATCGTTTATTTTTATACAAGGACTTGAGCGACAGAAGGCTTCCTACTTTCCTTTGATCCATTATTATCTACTCTCTGGATGAGTAAACTGAGTCCCAGGGAAGACAAGAACAGGTGTGACGGGGTGAAGTAAGGGTGGGCGGTATAAGCCCGTCCCCTCCTCGTCCTGTCCCGAGGCAGGCGATTCCTCCAGCACGCACCTGCAGCACCTTTCCCTCGGGGCCTGGAGCCACCTTGTTCTACCTCCCGAACAGCCCAGGCACGGCGGGATTTACAGCAGAGTCAGAGGCCGAGCCTGGAGTGGAAGATGCCTACTTTCAGCACCTGCCGCCACTGTGGAATGAAGGGGGTGAGGACTGGATTGTACATCTAAATTGTGACAGTCTGTGAAGAGGAGGGCCTGTGGGAGGAGGGGAGAAAGAGAGCGGCCTGGGAAGCGTGGAGGGTGGGAGTGGTTAGAGAGGCAGGGGAAGGAAATCCGTCAACCGCATCCTTCAGAACACGCTGGGTGTCCTGGACTCAGGGTTCTGGGAATAGGCACATACCCTAGACACTGTTGTTCCAAACAATGGGATTAGCATGTGCACTTTCAGAAGTTTAAAAAAAAAGTGGGGAAGGGGGAAGGAAGCAAGTGCCAGAAAGAGTGGTTGGAGTGTGATGGGGAACCCGGGAGAGCTTCGCGGAGGAGGTGAGGCTTAAGCGGATTAGGCAAGCGAGCTGGCTGCTCCGGCGGGGGAGAGCGCAGCTGAGCCCGCGCCAAGGTTCGCGGGCGGCAGGTGCGAGGGACCTCATGGTGCCAGGCAGGGTCTGCGCACCGCGCCTCGCCCGCTCGCAGCCCCCACTCTCCGCCGAACGCCCAGCCTCCTCTAGGGGCGTGGGGCCTCAGCGCTCTCCTCTTGCTCACATTCAGAGCGAACTCAGGCAGTGAGAAGGAAAACCACCGGTCAAGGTCACCTTGGGGCCCGAGTTTGAGCCAGGGTAGAACTCGGACTCCTGCAGGGCTGGCTATGTCAGGGTGCCCAGCACAGCCCGCCCAGCACCATCTGACTTCTATAAGCTCGGACCTGGGACTTTCCCTGCATCCGTGCTGTTAGATTACCGTGGCCAGGGTGACCTCCAAAATAGAGACCCTACGTGGGGAAGATGAGCTGCTTGGCATGTCCTGGCCATAACCACAATAGGCTCCCTCCAGGATCACCCTCTTTGGCACCCTGCTGCGCTCAAGCTGGAAGGGAAGACACAGACAGGAACAGGAAGGGGCAACCAGACAGGAGGAATCTTGGCTCGCTGGTGGAGGCAATACCAACAGTTGTTTTTGCTTAGAAATGTATGGAAGAAAACCTTGGCAGCAAGACAAGGTGCTTGCACCTGTTCCTCAAAGGCCAGCAGGTGGCCCTATGACCCTGCTGGCAGAGGATGCTCTCCAATGCCAGACTCGGTGGGAAAGTCAGCTTAGCGCCATGGCCTTGTGGAACCTATACATTCAACACCCACTCCCCATCCATGCACCTGCTAGCCTGAGGGCTGGTGGTGAACAATACAGACACAGCCCCTCTCCTCCTGATGCTAATGTGGTGGCAAGAGGTGTCTGTGGCTCCTTGCTACCTGTTTACTCCCATGTTCTCACTGCCTGTTCAGCCCTGTCTTGCACAGCAGTCTTCCTTACGTGGAATCTTCAGCAGGGAACACTGGATGACCCCATGCCAGCTTCTAGAGGGCTCTGACAGAACAGAAGGGGGCTGCAGGGGGAGCCAGGCTGCAAGTCTGTCCTGAGTGAGTTCCTGTAGAGAGGAGGAGAACCAAGTTTTAAATGGATTGGAGAAATGGAGAGCAAAATTTGGGATCTAGAAGCAGGCCTCTGGCACAGAGGTAAGATGCTGTTTGGGATTCTGGCATGCTATACTTCAGAGTCTGAATTGGGGTCCTGTCTCTGCTTCCATCCCAGCTTCCTGCTCATGTGCAGCCTGGGAGGCAGCAGGTGCACCCGGGTCCCTGCTAATAGTAGGAGAGACCCAGATTGAGATCCTGTCTCCCACATTTGGCCTGGCCCAAGCCTGGAGAGTAAACCAGCAGATGTAACATTTATTTTCTCTTTCCCTCTCTGTTTTTCAAATACATGGAATAATAAGGTTTATTAGGAATGTCGGAATCAAAGCATGTGGGCAAGAATGACACTTGAGCGCTGCAAACCAAATGGAAAGTGCGGCACAAGGCAGCTGCAGCTCCATCTTCTCCCCTGCTGTGTGCGTGCCCCTGTGGTCCCTTCAAGGCCCACTGTGCTTATCTGATCGCAGCAGGCACACCACAGTGCAAAGAGACCTTTTTGTCTGTCTTGTCTTCTCACCAGAGGGCAAGCTCCTGGCAAGCAAGGACTGTTTCTCACACTGTGCCCCTGGCATTCCACCAGCGGTCTCAGTGAAGCCACCTCGGGGAAGAGGAGATGGCTGTCAGAGTGGAGGCAGGGTGAATTGCAGATGGCCAGAAGGGTGGTGAGGGAGGACTGCCTTTATTTATTTACGATTTATTTATTTATTTATTTACTGGAAAAACAGAGTTACAGGAAGAGAGAAGGAGGCACACACACACACACACACACACTGAGAGAGAGAGAGAGAGAGAGAGAAGGATCTTTTATCTGCTGGCTGGTTCACTCCTCGGATGGCCACAATGGCCAGTGCTGAGCCAAGCCAAAGCCAGGAGCCAAGAGCTTCATGCGGGTCTCCTACATGGGTCCAAGCACTTTGGTCATCTTCTGCTTTCCCCAATGCATTAGCAAGGAGCTGGATGAGAAGTAGTGTATCTGGGATTCGAACTACCACTCATATGGGATGCTGAGATCACAGGTGACAGCTTTACCACTACGCCATAACTCGGGCCTCCAGGGGCTGCCTTTAAGTGTTACTGCCTTATCCAGACTAGGCCAGTAGTTCCCAAGTGACACACTTTGATTACACACGACTGTTTGTTAGCACTTAGATTGTTACCTGAGAATTAAATGTTTCTTCATTCAACTTCCAGGACTCCACGGTAAGGCTTTCCTCCTCCTGCTGCTGCTTGTCATCAGTCTCTTTGCCAGTTCCTGCTTATCCCTTATCTCCTCCAGAGAAACAAACAACGAGCTCTTCTGTCTGCTGGTTGGCTCCCAGGATGTATGCAACTGGCGAGCCAGGGCTGAGTCAGTACCTGCAAATTCAATCCATGTAGGTGGCAGGGACCAAAGTCCTTGGGCCATCACCTGTTGCCTCTTGGGTTGTGCATCAGCAGGAAACTGAACTGGAAGCCCAGTAGCCAAGACTGGAATCATGCACTGCAATATGGACACATACATCTCAAGCAAACAACTGAACAGCTGTCCTAAATGCCCACTCCCTCTGCATCTTTTAATGCTACAATTGCCCCTCACTTGGTCCCCTTTCATCTTTATCCACTCACTTGCATGGAGCTATTATCCACTTTCCAGTCTGTAAACACTACTAAAAGCAGAAAGCAACTTTTTTTTTTTAAATTTATTAAAAAGTTCAGATAGAGAGGAAGTTCTTCCATCTGATGATTCACTCCCCAAATGGCCCCAATGGCTGGTGCTGCACCAATCCAAAGCCTGGAGTTTTCTCTGGGTCTCCCACGTGGGTGCAGGGTCCCAAAGCTTTGGGCCGTCCTTGACTGCCCTCTCAGGCCACAAGCAGGGAGCTGGATGGGAAGTGGAGCTGCCTGGATTAGAACCGGTGTCCATATGGGATCCCGGCACATTCAAGGTGAAGACTTTAGGCTCTAGGCCACCGCACTGGGCCCTAGAAAGCAACTTTTTAAAGTTAAGATGTTGGATGTCTAGGGGATAACTGTGTATTCTGTTTTTGCATGAGTAAAAAATAAATAGCATTTGTAGGACAATGATTCCCAGACCTCTTGTCTAGATTCTGAATACATATATCCGAACATCAACTTGACCTCTCCTCTTGAATCTCCAATTGACAGGCATCTCAAGCATCGTAAACCCAAAACAGAGCTCCCATGACTTAATCCCAAGCTTTCTCTTCCTGCAATTTTCCTGTGTCAATTTGCTGCACTAAAAACCTCCTCTGTTTTAGTAAACTCCACACTAATCTGCCAGCAAATCCTGCCCTGTGGCTTGCCCATGTTACTAGCCTTCAAGGTGCTCTCTGCGTTCCCACCCTTGTTTCCCTACAATGAATTCTCAACCTAGAAGGGAGGCAAGAGAGGCCACCCTTTGTTCCTCCCCATCTAACACACAAAATGTGAAAACTGGCTAACAAATGGAGAACCACATAGAATATGGAATAAGCAAAAGCACCCGGATGAAAGAAGGAAGGTTATGGTAGGGAACAGGAAATGATGAAGAAGGAAAAGACAAACTGGAACCAGATTGTGGAGGTCTCTTTCTCTCGCTCTCTCTCTCGCGTGCCCTCTATCTCTGTTTCTCAGTCTTTGTCCTTCTGCCTTTCAAATAACAATTACACATTTTTTTTTATTTTTTTTTAAAGATTTATTTTTATTATTTTTTATTGGA